CATGTGATTTGCGACGATGTGACGCCATTGTCATGTGATTGTCCGACGATTTGACGCCGTTGTCATGTAATTGTTTGACGATGTGACATTTGTCGTGTAATTGTTCGAGGATGTGATATTGTCATGTAAATGTTAGACAATGTTACGACATTGTCATGTTATTGTTCGACAATGTGACGACATTGTCATGTAACTGTTCGACGATGAGATGACATTATCATGTAATTGTTCGACGATGTGAAGACATTGTCATGTAATTGTTCGACGATGTGACGACATTGTCATGTAATTGTTCGACGATGTGAAGTCATTGTCATGTAATTGTTCGACAATGTGACGACATTGCCATGTACGTAATTGTTTGACGATGTGACGTATTGTCGTGTGATTGTTCGATAATGTGACAACGTCATCCACAACGAGACTGCTTAACGAGATAATATTGCCGCATGTGCACATATATTCTAGTATTGCATTGACACATCGACATCACCTCTAACACTGAAACTGCAATTTCATTTTGTGTCATCGACCACGTTTCACTGACACAATTATGAATGTAACTAACTATCACCTGTGTATATTCCTCTGTGTGAACATTTGTTACATGACAATACATCAAAAGACGGCACATGATCTTCTCCATCAAAATCATGAACCAATTCAAACAGGTATATGTTGACCTACTATTAAACTGATCAGCAGAGTAAGTGAGGTAGTATCTACATCGCTATGAACATCGTTTCAGTCATAGCAGGGCTTTGTGGCTCATTGGATAAAATTCAAAGTTATGCAAGTTGACAAAATTGTACCTTTTGAAAACTAACAAACAAAAACATAAAGTACCTATTCTTGTTAAGGGTTCTATATTTCCTATCATTCAAGCTAAATTGTTTTTAACAACCAACAAACCAATGATAAACTCTCAATATTGCCGGAAAACATGCATCGATAGTAAGGCTCCAACTCACATCGTATGGTTCGCGCACGGTGTAATTGTTGACCACGGCTACTGCGATTTAACACGGAGTCGGTGATTGGGCTTGGGTGCAATCCTACAGCACTAAAAGTGACCCCCACCCCCCCCCCACCCCCCCCCCCCCCCCCCCCCCCCCCACCCCCCCCCCTAACAGTGACTGATCACATGGCGTGTTGGCTACTGACATGCGCATACTACGCTCGGTTGTTTAATGTAATACGATCGGGCACATGCTGATTGATACCCGCGAAAATCCGGGTTAGAAATGATCTTCAGCAACCAATGCTTGTCGTGTGAGGCGACTATGCTTGTCATATTATAAAAGAGGCTGCTAACGGGATCGGGTGGTCAGGCTCGTTGACATGGTGGATGCAGGTCATCGTATCCTATTTGCGTAGATCCATGCTCATGGTGTCAATCACTGGATTGTCTCACGCGATAACTAACAGATCGGAATATTGCTGAAAGCGACGTAAACAACAAACAAACAATGTGCTGACTGAACATCGCTTAAAGATTTTTTCCATATAATATATAAAGGTCGACCATCACCCAAAATGATATACGTCATATCTTAAGGTCGACCATCACCCAAACTAACACACGTCATATGTACAGGTCGACCATCACCCAAACTAACACACGTCATGTGTACAGGTCGGCCATCACCCAAACTAACACACGTCATATGTACAGGTCGGCCATCACCCAAACTAACACACGTCATATGTACAGGTCGGCCATCACCCAAACTAACACACGTCATATGTACAGGTCGGCCATCACCCAAACTAACACACGTCATATGTACAGGTCGACCATCACTCAAACTAACACGCGTCATATGTACAGGTCGGCCATCACCCAAACTAACACGCGTCATATGTACAGGTCGGCCATCACCCAAACTAACACACGTCATATGTACAGGTCTGCCATCACCCAAGCTAACGCGCGTCATATGTACAGGTCGGCCATCACCCAAACTAACACGCGTCATATGTACAGGTCGGTCATCACCCAAGCTAACACGCGTCATTTGTACAGGTCGGCCATCACCCAAACTAACACGCGTCATTTGTACAGGTCGGCCATCACCCAAGCTAACACGCGTCATATGTACAGGTCGACCATCACCCAAACTAACACGCGTCATATGTACAGGTCGGCCATCACCCAAACTAACACACGTCATATGTACAGGTCGACCATCACCCAAACTAACATACGTCATATATACAGGTCGACTATCACCCAAACTAACACACATCATATGTAAACGTCGACCATCACCCAAACTAACATACGTAATATCTTAAGGTCGACCATCACCCAAACTAACACACGTTATATATACAGGTCGACCATCACCCAAACTAACATACGTCATATCTTAAGGTCGACCATCACCCAAACTAACACAGGTCATATGTACAGGTCGACCATCACCCAAACTAACACACATTATATATACAGATCGACCATCACCCAAACTAACACACGTCATATGTACAGGTCGACCTTCACCCAAACTAATACACGTCATATGTAAACGTCGACCATCATCCAAATTAACACACGCCATATATACAGGTCGGCCATCACCTAAGCTAACACGCGTCATTTGTACAGGCGACCATCACCCAAGCTAACACAGCAGATATAAAAAGCTCGAAGAATATATACAGTGTGACAATCAATACAGGGTGACTATCATCTGGACTATCTGTGCAAGCATCATATATATATATATTTGTTGACTATCGACTCCAAACTCTGTGCTCTGTGCTTACATCATACATATAGTCTGACTATCGACTCCACACTCTGTGCTCTGTGCTTACATCATATATACAGTCTGACTATCAACTTCACACTCTGTGCTCTGTGCTTACATCATACATACAGTCTGACTTTCGACTCCACACTCTGTGCTCTGTGCTTACATCATATATACAGTCTGACTATCGACTCCACTCTCTGTGTTCTGTGCTTACATCATACATACAGTCTGACTATCGACTCCACACTCTGTGCTCTGTGCTTACATCATATATACAGTCTGACTATCAACTTCACACTCTGTGCTCTGTGCTTACATCATATATACAGTCTGACTATCGACTCCACACTCTGTGTTCTGTGCTTACATCATACATACAGTCTGACTATCAACTCCACACTCTGTGCTCTGTGCTTACATTATATGTACAGTCTGACTATCGACTCCACACTCTGTGTTCTGTGCTTACATCATATATACAGTCTGACTATAGACTCCACACTCTGTGCTTACATCATACATACAGTCTGACTATCGACTCCACACTGTGCTCTGTGCTTACATCATATATACAGTCTGACTATCAACTCCACACTCTGTGCTCTGTGCTTACATTATATGTACAGTCTGACTATCGACTCCACTCTCTGTGTTCTGTGCTTACATCATATATACAGTCTGACTATAGACTCCACACTCTGTGCTTACATCATACATACAGTCTGACTATCGACTCCACACTGTGCTCTGTGCTTACATCATACATACAGTCAGACTATCGACTCCACACTCTGTGCTCTGTGCTTACATCATATATACAGTCTGACTATCGACTCCACACTCTGTGCTTACATCATACATACAGTCTGACTATCAACTCGACTCTCTGTGTTCTGTGCTTACATTATACATACAGTCTGACTATCAACTCGACTCTCTGTGTTCTGTGCTTACATCATACATACAGTCTGACTATCAACTCCACACTCTGTGCTCTGTGCTTACATCATACATTCAGTCTGACTATCAACTCGACTCTCTGTGTTCTGTGCTTACATCATATATACAGTTTGATTATCAACTCGACTCTCTGTGTTCTGTGCTTACATCATATATACAATCTGACTATCGACGCCAAACTGTGCTCTGTGCTTACGTCATATATACAATCTGACTATCAACTCCAAACTGTGCTCTGTGCTTACATCATATATACAATCTGACTATCGATTCCAAACTGTGCTCTGTGCTTACATCATATATACAATCTGACTATCAACTCCACTCTCTGTGTTCTGTGCTTACATCATGCATACAGTCTGACTATCGACTCCACACTCTGTGCTCTGTGCTTACATCACATATACACAGTCTGACTATCGACTCCACACTCTGTGCTCTGTGCTTACATCATATATACAATCTGACTATCGACTCCACTCTCTGTGCTCTGTGCTTACATCATACATACAGTCTGACTATCGACTCCACACTCTGTGCTCTGTGCTTACATCATATATACAGTCTGACTATCAACTTCACACTCTGTGCTCTGTGCTTACATCATATATACAGTCTGACTATCAACTTCACACTCTGTGCTCTGTGCTTACATCACATATATACAGTCTGACTATCAACTTCACACTCTGTGCTCTGTGCTTACATCATACATACAATCTGACTATCGACTCCACACTCTGTGCTCTGTGCTTACATCATACATGCAGTCTGACTATCGACTCCACTCTCTGTGCTCTGTGCTTACATCATACATACAGTCTGACTATCGACTCCACTCTCTGTGCTTACGTCATACATACAGTCTGACTATCGACTCCACACTCTGTGCTTACATCATACATACAGTCTGACTATCGACTCCTCACTCTGTGCTCACATCATACATACAGTCTGACTATCAACTCCACTCTCTGTGCTCTGTGCTTACGTCATACATACAGTCTGACTATCGACTCCACACTGTGCTCTGTGCTTACATCATATATACAGTCTGACTATCGACTCCACACTCTGTACTCTGTGCTTACATCATATATAGAGTCTGACTATCGACTCCACACTCTGTGCTCTGTGCTTACATCATACATACAGTCTGACTATCGACTCCACACTCTGTGCTCTGTGCTTACATCATACATACAGTCTGACTATCGACTCCACACTCTGTGTTCTCTCCTTACATCCTGCCTGTATTTCTGACACACCACATTTCAGATGCAAGGGGCTCCCCAGACGCTGCAGTATGCGTCAGGTCAGAACGAGGCTCATGTACTAGGTAGGTGACCAATCAGGGATGGCTTTGTTTCATGCATGTTACCATGGTAACCCTTCAACACCAAATTTGCAAATACACAGTAGAACCTGATCATTTTATTTCAGATGGTTTGAAGGCGTGACAAAGTGTCTAGAATCAGGGTATTTGTTAGGTCTCACGGGGGTCACGGGTGGCCCAGTCTTCTAAGGCGCCGCGATTCGCTGTGCAGAGTTGCGTCCCTTGGGCATGCCAGAAACCTATGATTGTGGGTTCGAATTCCGGTTTGCCCCGATTATGTTTCTAGGTTTGTCAGCACCATTCCCGTGCTCGTGGGTTTCACCGAAGTGGTAAACGTCTGATACCTGCATCACTTCGGGCTTTCCTCCCACATTAAGCTGACACACCGCGATATAACTGGAATACTGTTAAAAGCGGCGTTAAACCCAACTCACTCACTCACTCATGCCAAGATGTCTGACGGGCTGCAGAGAAATGTGTGACTGGTTTATGGCACATTTGATTGGTACACCATTTTGTAAATGTGGTGGCAACTGTGATTACATTTTATTGTCCCAAACCATCCAAACCATTATCCATTTAAAGCATATTTTCAAAAATACAAATTTTGCTCTTTACATATTCTGTTATTTACCATATGAGTACACAATATTGGTATAGTTAATTGGCCTTATTGATGTATTTCTTAAAGATATGCCGAAAAGAAAGAAATGCATATTAGTTTCATTTTTTCACACTTTGAATTACCCACATCGTCTATTATATGGTCTACATAAATAGTCTATTATGATAAAATTATTTACTTTACAGATATAGTGTTGGGGAAATACGTTCCAAAATGGTCATTTTTCATAATATATTGAGTTGTGGATCATGTTCCCATGAGATGTACAAGAATTTCGTTCTGCTATGGCGGCCATATTGGATTTTTTTGTGGCCCCATAACTGAAGATATTTGGAAAGTCATTACCTACAACTGTGCCAAGTTTATGCTTTTATCACAAAGTGCACAGTTTTTCACGAAAGGGCTACACTGGCACGGCATCAAACTTCATGACAGTCCTAATCATATTAGGGTAGGGCGAAGTCCTTGTTGTATCCCCCAAGTTCCAGGAAGGGTAACAACAAGTACCATATTTTAAAGTCGTATGGCATGACGCGGACGAGCATCGACGCTCTGTCCATAAGACCACGGGGGCACTGGTTGCCCAGACGTCTAAGGCGCCGCGATTTGCTTTTCCCCTTTAGCACACCAGAAACCTATGATTGTGGGTTCGAATCCAATTATGTTTCTCGGATTCTCAGCACCATACCCGTGCTCGTGGATTTCACCGAAGTGGTAAACGTCTGAGACCTGCATCACTTCGGGCTTTCCTCCCTTACGCTGACACGCCACGATATAACTGGAATACTGTTAAAAAGCGGCGTCAAACCCAACTCACTCACTCACAAGACCACGAGGCGGTCTTATCATATTAAGCTGACATCCTTATGATAATGAGGCAATGACGAAATTGAAGAGTTATTCATAACCAGTCTTGAATGTGTAACGTACAGTTCACCACCTTTAGTGTCCAGAGATTGATAACGTCGTTTAATTGTGACAGAATGTTCCCGATGACGTCACAATGGTCTACTTTAAATGATTTTATTATTTTCTGACAAAGAAACTAAAACAGCAGAGGTGGAAACATAAGGTAAGTGTTTGATAGGGCCTGTAGATAGAGCTTTGTAGATAGTTTTATTTATGGTAAGTAAGTAAGTATGTCCACCCGCTTTAAGCCCACAGGGGCTGTATCAACAACTGCAAGATTCAAATAGTAGGCGAGTCTGTTGCTTCCTCGGTACAGAAGAACAGGCGGTGGCCAATTTCTCGTAGGCTGCGATTGGACTACACCAAACATGTCATTAATTGGTCCTCGGTGTTGGAGCGGAATACGTGCAGTTTGCTCGTTAAGTAAAATGACTCGCCAAATACCCTAAATAGCGCAACATATAACATCGGCAGGGATGTTTGTTATATCTATTATCATCCAAAACAACTATACATGTCTCCATGTTTAGTTACATTCGAAATATAAGGTTGTTACGCATGCGCACCTGCAACCGGATATAGTACAGATTTGTACCACATCGTATGGCCACCGCCTGTTAAAAGCGCACAGTTCACTGCGCCAACCGACAGGGCAACCAGTTTAGAGTCGCTACTTAGTAAACTAATCTTAGACTTGACTCAGGCACCAAATACAAACGAATGACAAAGCAGAAACATGGAAAGAAGATAGATATTCTAAATGATATCAAAATGAAAAAAAAACATCGGAAGGGTGCCTAAAATTGTGCCTAAACTTTCTAACAGTAACTGTGTGATTTTGTTGACAGTGTTGCACCAATGCAAGTGACTAAGTCATGGTGCCGCACGTGTACCCGCAGTTTATCCGATCACCTAATATATTGTCCAAATGTATAAATATTAAGCATAATTTAAAAGGGGATCGTGCGCACCTATCTATAGATTCTCATTCCATTATTTGCTTGTATGGGGGTGCCTGTGACATCTAATAGATAGATAGATAGATAGATAGTGATGTATTATCCTTCATCGGTGAGATTAAAGGCATGATGGTTTATTCGATATTAAAATAAAACAGGTGAGATGTTGACATTTGTACCTGCAAGTTTACCTGTTGCATTGTGGATCCATCACTGACTTGTCCTACCATCGCTGGTCACCGAAATGAACTGGAACAACTAATAAGCAAGGCAAATGTTATGCCATTAATAGTTTTTCATTTACCCCAGTTAGTTTTTTCCGATTTTATTTCATCAGAGTTCCATCCGAGTGTCCCGCAGTTTCTCATTGGTAAGTATATATTTATATAACGGCTAATCGCGTGTGCGTGTGTGTGTGCGTGCGTGCGTGCGTGTGTGTGATAGTACAAGTACGGACTAATTATACTGTGCAAGCCCACTGAGATACCATGCCGCAATTTAACATGCATAACCCACTCAGATACAGTATACTGACGACCAGTCCTTGTTTTAGGAGGAGGGGTGGGTGCTGTGGGAGTAGGGGTGTGGGGGTGGGGGTGGGGTGGGGGTGGGGTGGGGGGGGTGGGGGTTGTGTGGGGGAGGGGGGGGGGGGTGTGTGTCATGGTCATGTTCAATCCAGCCGAACGTTTCATTACAGACACGTAATTGATTTTACATTCCTGCCCCAAACTAAATAACATGTAGCACACGTGGTGTCTCTTTAGGTAAGTGACTTCGTTTGAAATGTGCCTTGGTTCACCCAACAGTGAATGGGTACCCGGAAGGATGAGATGACTTTAAACCGTCTAGTGGCTCACAGGCAGCTTGGGTTGTATACTCGCCAGGGAGCTGAGAATGAAAATTGATTGCACACTGATCCATTGACATGTATATATTTCACGCTATGATTTTTGGAAAATCTGTTAGATGATCACTACTGGACAATTTGTAATGTACTTAATGCCTGTGGCCTTTAAGTATGTGAAATAAAGATTGATTCATCCTTTGACTGGGGTAATTTGAACATGCTTTCGGGTGTGGATTTGGTGCTTACAAATATTTGTTAAATTTGGCATTCCTCGTGGTCTGTTAAATTGTTGAACTACCCTTAACAATGGGTTATTATCATCATCATCATCATCATTATCATTATCATCGTTGTTGTTATTATTATTATTATTATTTTATATTATTATTATTATTATTATTATTATTATTATTTCCAGATGAATTACTTCGATACCCGCAATGGTCCTTACACTACAACGAAACACTCATAGAAATTAACGATCTCATGCGTGACCTGGCCGCTGCATCTGTAACAACTGTACCACCACCCAGGCAGAACCAGATGAATCAGTTCCAGCCCGCCCAGCCACTCCCTGTCCAGGGTGTCCAGCCAGGGCTACTCCAGGGTCAAGGTGTGCAAGTTGGTCATCTGGAAGGGGTCAACATGAACCTTCAAGGGGTTCATGTGGATCAAGTTGGAATGGGGCATGGCCATACACATGGGGTGGGACATAGTCATGGTCAAGGTCATGGAGGTATGGGTCAAGGTCAGGGAACTTTTGATCAAGGTCACAGAAGAATAGATCAAGGTCATAGAAGCATGCGACACAGTCAAGGTCATGTCGGACAAAGTCATGGGAATATTGGGCAAGGCATTGGCGATATTGGACAAGGAAACATGGGTCAAGGTCACATGCAATCAGTGCAATTTGGTCAGTCCCAAAACATTGGCCAACAAGGCTTAGGTAATAATTTTGGGCAACCTGGCTCTCAATTTGATCAGCATCAGACTGGTGGAACATTTATTCAGAGAGCACCAACATTTCAAGTAGATCCCTTCTCAGCAATAAATGGAAATATTCAAGTCGACCCTATACAGAGTGTGCACATAGGTCAACAGACAGGGAACATGGGCCGTGTTGACCTTTCAAGAAGCGGAGGGACGCAACGCTTCCAGAATGTCGGTGCAAACACAGGCCAAGCTGATCTTCAAATAATCTCAGCTCGGGAAATGAAGTTCCCGCCATGGAAATGACCACCGACAACACTAATCCTCATGAGCATGCACGTTTTTGTGTGTGTGTACTTACACTATTTTAGTATCTATGAGGATTGATATTTTGTACAAAAATGATTTGACCAAATGCTTGTTAATACACTAACATTACACATGGAAAGATCAAGCATTAAACCTGTGCCATGGATGTAAATCTAAAACATGGTACATTTATTAAGCTTGGTTCTTGCAGCGCTAATGAATCATTCTGTGTATCATCTTTGTAATTATTTATCATTGAATATCTGGTCCAAAGATCAGTCAAGTATTGTTGAGTTTATATGTTTGCTATTTGAATGTAAACACAGACTAATTCTGACTGCATTTACTAAAACATATTGAAGAGATTGTGATGCTACACCTACTCACTTGTGCACATCTTAAGGGTCGAGTATGGTCCAGGTTTTTAAAAACGCGATCCTGTCCTATTTTGGAAACATGAATAAAGACACCTCAGAAGTCCAGCTTCTGTTGCCATGGTCTTTCTGTCGTACCATGTACAACAAATTGATATAAGTTTATCACCACGCCATGTCAAATGGGGATCAACCAGTCTTATAACAAGAATGCATCCTTTCCTATAGCTTCCCACTGCCTCCCATAATTACAACCAATCAATCTATGACAAATCTGGTACAAAAGTTATCATTGCAAGTCCTTAAAGGGGGACAAGTCTCCACAATCTGGTGCCATGTTTAGTTTCAGTCTCACCTTCTAATCACTGGCCTGAGTATGATACATTGTTTGTGTGTAATTGGGGTACTCATCAACTACTAGATTGACATCCATCACACATAATGGTTCTGAAAGACTTGAGCTATATTTCTGGCTCTGCCAAGCCTAGTTCTCTTTAATGTACATATTGAGATTGACTTTGTAGCTGTGCCTGTATCAACTCTCCTGTATGTTATTGGTATCTGCCTTCTGTTAGTGAAAATGACCGTTTACTTTTAGACTGGAGTGTACCAATCTGTGGTTTGCTTTCGACAGAGTTGCATAACAAACGAAATTCACAGCTACTAAGTCAATATGTTTACCTGGAGTGTTTTGTAGTATTGTCAGAATCATTCGCGAAGTATTTCTCTGGTACTGCTGATCTGGAATTTTGGTTGAATAAAACGCATAAAACAAATGTTTGTTTATTTATTCATCCATAATAGTATGGACAAACTTATTTATTTAAGGGGCCTTCTCAAAACTTGAGGTTACAGTTCATGGATAGACGGAAACCAACCAACACGTTTCCTGATGACACACATAATGAACACATGTCATCTTGTTCAGTCTCACCTAAAGATGGATTCTACACTATGAGAGACGAAAATCTCTGAGCTGATATGATTGATCTCATTTGCTCTGTGTCATTAACAGTCAATTCATCGAACTTGCTTCATCGGTTTCCTCTCAACAAAAAGTGAGTATGTAAGTGAGTGAGTATGGTTTAACGTCGCTTTTAGCAATATTCCAGCAATATCACGGCGGAGGACACCAGAAATGAGCTTCACATATTGTACACATTTGGGGAATAGAACCTGGGTCTTCGGCATGACGAGCGAATGCTTTAACCACTAGGCTACCCGACCGCCCCCAACAAAGAGTGAGTGAAAATGCTTAATGCCACATCAGCAATCTTGCAGCCATTCGGGGCAAGAACAAGGAAGAAACATCAGACTTATTTCATCTCGATCAGTCAATGATTGTTCATGGCCTCACTCAGCAATATTCCATCTGTAAATGATTCCTTCTGGACAAGACGATCCAGTGATCGATATCAAGACAAGTGTCCTACACTGTTTGGGTCACCTGATCCATTTAGTCGCCTCTTACGACAAGCCTAGGTTGCTGGGGACAAGGAATAACCTGGATCAAACACAGGGATTTCAGTGAGTGAGTGAGTCTGGTTTTACGCCGCTTTTAGCAATATATTTCAGCAATATCACGGCGGGGAACACCAGAAATGGGCTTCACACATTGTACCAATGTCAGAAATCGAACCCGGGTCATTGTCGTGATGAGCGATTGCTTTAACCACAAGGCTACCCGACCGCCCCACGGGGGTTTCAGGGCAAGTAATTGTTCCTGACTAATACCCTGTGTGGCAATGAGGTTTTTAATGTTAATTTCTTCAACAGTCAAATCATCTCTTCAATAAACTCACCCACACCATCAGTGTAACATACATTAACCTATGTACGAATAACCCAACATTTCAACAAGATCCTCATCTTTTATCTGAGATAGCCCAAAAAATATTTGTTCACAATTCGTTTGAGGAGTACAACAAGCATATATCACAATATGGACAATACAAAATAAATATCAACAAGTCAAGAAACAAAGGCTTTGTAGCAAACGCTTCTTAAAGTTTTCAAACATCCCTTATGTATGAACACCAACGTTAAAAATACTAATCGTGAGAGTGAAAACACTTTGGGGAATGTTTTTTGTTTCTAGGTTTAGTGGAATGTTAGGTCACCAGTGTTATCAATACCTCATGATTTTGAATACATATACTATGTTGTATACTCCCCAAGGAGCTGAGAATGAAGTTTCATGGACCACTGATCCGTTGACCGGGGTAATAATAATGTAGCACTTTGAGAATGCCTTATTTTGGGTGTACACACAAAATGTAACGATAATTTTCCTATTGAAAAAATACAACGGAAGATACATAGAAACTGGCATCAATCAACATCATCAACACATTATATACACAAGCAATAACGGACATATCATCATGATTATAACTAGTACTATGATTTGCACAGTGCCCTAAGACCTAAAACAACATGCATGTATAACTGATTTTATAGCTAAAATGGATTGAATTATCAATAAACCGCCCGCATGTTATAAAAAATGAGCAGGCCACTCTAACTTGATAATGCCCTCATAATGCTTTACAAAAGGCCATTATAACGCCCGTTAATAGGCGACGTCATAGGATAGGGATAGGTGACGTCACGTTTAATAGTGACGTCATCTGGTTTGTTCTATGACGTTTCCATATTTGTAGAAGTGGGTTAGTGACATTCCTGTTGATTGCAGTAAATGTTTCAAAACCGATATTGTTGTTTGTTTTTATTTGATAACAAATTCCATCCATTTTAGCTATAATAACGGTAACGCTATTTTTCAGGGCATTATCATTTGCAGAAGCCCTTGGTCTTTTCAAATGCGGGGGCACAGGTGGCCCAGTCGTCTAAGGCGCCGCGATTCGCTGTGCAGAGTTGCGTCCCTTGGGCACGCCAGAAACCTATGATTGTGGGTTCGAATCCCGGTTCGCCCCAATTATGTTTCTAGGTTTGTCAGCACCATACCCGTGCTCGTGGGTTTCACCGAACTGGTAAACGTCTGAGACCTGCATCACTTCGGGCTTTCCTCCCACATTAAGCTGACACGCCGCGATATAACTGGAATACTGTTAAAAGCGGCGTTAAACCCAACTCACTCACTCACTCACTCTTTTCAAATGCCCTCCTTCGTCAGGCAGTTAATGGAAGACCTCAGGCTTCTGCAAATGGAAATGCCCTGAAAAATAGCTTTACCCTTATAATAGGATCCTGTCAAACCTGTAATGTGAGACGACATCTGAGGCTGGAACAATGAAACCAACAGTGTTGTTTTTTTAATTAGTTTTGGCTATAAAGCAAAAACAAAATCCAGTCTCGTGTGGTTTTACTGATACATGTCAATATGAAAAATATACCTTTGGATTGTCTCACTTTATAAACAACTTATTTTAATTACATATTAATATCCATTCCAAATTACCATTTAAGAAAGCTTACCTGAAATATTGTTAACTGAAAAGGCATGAATTTTAAATGAAATTCCAAGTTCCATGACAAAATATTTTACTGTCAACATCTGATGAAAATACAAATAAAAAGCAACTTTTTATAGGCTTAAAAAATAAGTCTTGGTTTCTCAGGCACCACCTCATCATCATAAAGTCGTTTTTATTTCCATTTATCAAAAATATATTTTTGAAACTAATTCTTAAAAAGAATGCGAGCCAATATAAGCATGCATTGACTTCCTTTTACATGCGCACTGCTTTACTGTGCAGCTCATGTTATGGTCATGGGGGCAATAGGAGTTTGTATGCTTGTCTATGTAGGGAGGCCCTTTCCCAGGTTGATGGTTCACAACTGTTTTATTGGTTACATACTCGTTTGAACAAGCAAAAAAACAATAACACTGCACTATATTTTCAAAAGTCATTGCCTGAGAACCAATTCTGTTATTTTTGTAAGCCTAATAGTATTTAGCATCATGTATCTAAAATTCAAGCGTTTAACAACTTGAATGTCATTCAAATGTATATTCAGCTCTAAGTGATTCTTTGGACAGGAACTTATGTATGTAATATTTTCATACATCAGCTTCATGTATGATTCAGAAAACAGAATAAAATCAAATGAATCTTTCTGTTCTTCATTCCTAAACAATAATTGAACATTTAAATGAAACCATTTTTTTCTTCTTTTATGGATCTGATTTGCCTAAATTTTGAAACATATGTGTGTGTGTTTTTTTAAAACTATATTCTCATATAATACAAATTGTTGTATGTACAAGTATTTTGAAAACAACATCCCATTTTTGGGTATTAATAATACATTTCTTTGTAAATGACTAAAAATCAACCATCCTCACATCTTTATAAAGTTAAATGCCCTCGTCCTGGCTAAACTAGAATACCCAAAGTAAGAAGGACAATTGGTCTGGTGAGACTGATCTTAATTTTTCAAAAACAGCTATGTGCAGTTTCATAATTATTTCAAACATTTTACCAGGGTATTGAAACTATAACCAACTTCTGTTGACAAGAACACTCTTGTCATCCTCTCAATATCCTTACACCACTAAATAACATGTTAATATTTCACCCTCACAGACAAAAAATACCACACTTCTATAAAGCAAATACGCTTGCACCAATGGCTGTCAATTGACAGGCTGATACATGCCCGTTGTGGTCGACCAGATGAGAAGTCAGGAGCCACGGTAAAGCAGAGTTCCGTCCGATTATCCCTTCTTATTCAAGGAATCAGTGAACGAGGTTTTATGCCGCTGTCAGCAATATCACAGAGGTGACACCCAAAATCGACTTCTTAGATTGTACCCATATTGGGAATCGAACCCAGGACTTTGGTGTCTGGAACAAACATGTACCATTTGACTACCCACCGCCCACTAGATAACAGGCGATATGATCATCTGCATTTCATCTTACAAGACAGATGGCTGTGATATTGTTGACTGTTGTGTGAAACAACATAAACACACATAATATGAATCTGCCATTATACCTTGTGCAATACACAACTTTTGTAATGTTAAATGAAAGGTTTACAGTCTCACAGTTTGTGCTCAACTTACAAAAAAAACCTTTTAAATAATAAATACTTGTTTGTTTGCTACAAAAGAAAATGCATCAGCCATGCAAGTGGTGACACAAGGAGTAACCTCCCTTGAACAGCTTCGCTTCTCCTGACTTCCATTCTTAAGTTGAACCAACAACTTCTGGCATCTGGTATCAGACATTTGATTAGCAATGTCATATTTTAACAGCAAAAAAAACACAACAAATAATAAAGCTTTTTTCCATAAACAGTGGAACTCTAACAGATGTATTAGAGTGCAATATCAGGTCTGTATTTGGTCCCTGTGATCTATGCTTCGATTTATTTTTGGAAAGTATTTTTGGAAAGCAACAATGAATGAATAATCTTGTGCTGAAGAAACGTCCATTTAGTAACTGACACCAGAGATTGTGACATACGTTTCTATATGGACAACAATATTTATAAAAATTAGATCTATTACTCCAACCGGAATACCTCTCTCGAGTGAATATCGCTAACACCTCAATCAGAGGTCAAGTGAGGCAAACATTCTAATCAGCATCTAGGCTTCTAAATTCTCAGTATGAGTAAGCAAAGCATTTAGACCAGAATATCTGATTTCTGTACATCAAAAACAAACAAAAAGGCCAATTCTGAATCTAAATAATAATGGCAGCATCATAATATTGTTATAGATATTTTATACACTTGTGTTCTCTGGTGTGTGGGTTTTTTTTCATAAAAAGTACAATGAATCTGAATTGGGGTGGTCAAGTAATGGCATCTGATGGGTTCAAGGACACACACATCTTTCAATTTGATGGGTAGTTCGAGGTGGCTCAGCGTTCATTTGGTCTGACCTTCAATGGAGGCGTTGTCAGATATTCATGCAGAGACATATATCATGGGAGTAAAAGACCTGGTTTTAATGTGATTGTTCTACTGGAGTCAGTGTTATAACAGCTCTAAAGTCTGTGTTATAACAGTTCGACTAGAGTCAGTGTTATAACAGCTCTGAAGTCAATGTTATAACAGTTCTACTACAGTAATTCTCATAACAGCTCTGAAGTCTGTGTTATCCCATTCCTACTGGAGTCAGTGTTATAACAGTTCTACGGGAGTCAGTGTTATAACAGCTCTGCAGTCTGTGTTATAACAGTTCTACTACAGTAATTGTTATATCAGCTCTGAAGTCCGTGTTATCACAGTTCTACCGGAGTCAGTGTTATAACAGTTCTAAAGTCATTGTAATAACAGTTCTACTAGAGTGTTATAACAGCTCTGAAATCCATGTTATAACAGTTCCACTACAGTAATTGTTATAACAGCTCTAAAGTCCATGTTATAACAGTTCTACTACAGTAATTGTTATAACAGCTTTGAAGTCTGTGTTATGACAGTTCTATGGGAGTCAATGTTATAACAGTTCAGGAAGCTTGAGGGCAGGTAATGTGGAGTCGACACAGTTGATCCAGAAGTTGGCACAGGGAGCGTGATACTGCCGGCCCCCGTACGTCAACTTGGTAATCTCTTCATTCTGTTGGAATGACTTGGAGCGGGCATCCACATCCAGGAGACAGACACCACAAGCACTGTGTTGAGCCACATCACTGTCAGATTTGATGATCGCATGAAAGAAGTTGAGGGTCGTTGGTTCCGGCTGTGAAGGAAAGTGTGAACATTCGTCAGCCACCACAGAATCCAAAAACCAGACAGTTTTCATAACTGAAGTAAAATAAACATACAGTAACCTAGTTTTATAACAAACACCTATATAACGAACTGACAGATATAACGAAGTGTATGTTTTAGGGACCTGTCCATTTGCTGTATATATGGTTATAACCACGGTGTACTGTACTGTTATAACTCTGATCATGTCCCGTACCTTATCTTCAATCATACCCTTTTTGCATTCTGATGACTTTGACCTTTAGAACATAATCATTATATATGCCTGGTTCGGTGACTATCCTTTGAAAGTATTACTGGTGTTAACAGCTGATTTTTTCAAAAGTAGTGACTTCCATCTTGAAGTCAGATTGTCATATGCCACACAGATCATCTACACATATATGAGGATACCCCGACAATGACCAGCACAAAGGCTCCACCCACTCCCTTATATACCCCGACACTGACCAGCACTGAGGCTCCACTCACTCCCCATGTATACCCCAACACTGACCAGCACTGAGGCTCCACCCACTCCCTTATACACCCAAACACTGACCAGCACTGAGCCTCCGCCCACTCCCTGATATACCCCGACACTGACCAGCACTGAGGCTCCACCCAATCCCTGTTTACACCCAGACACTGACCAGCACTGAGGCTCCACCCACTCCCTGTGTATACCCCTACACTGACCAGCACTGGGGCTCCACCCACTCCCTGTTTACACCCAGACACTGACCAGCACTGAGGCTCCACTCACTCCCTGTTTACACCCAGACACTGACCAGCACTGAGGCTCCACCCACTCCCCGTGTATACCCTAACACTGACCAGCACTGAGGCTCCACTCACTCCCCGTGTATACCCCTACACTGACCAGCACTGAGGCTCCACCCACACCCTGTATACACCCCGACAGTGACCAACACTGAGGCTCCACTCACTCCCCATGTATACCCCGATATTGACCAGCACTGAGGCTCCACCCACTCCCCATGTATACCCCAACACTGACCAGCACTGAGGCTCCACCTACTCCCCGTGTAGACCCTGACACTGACCAGCACTGAGGCTCCACTCACTCCCCGTGTATACCCTAACACTGACCAGCACTGAGGCTCCACTCACTCCCCGTGTATACACTGACCAGCACTGAGGCTCCACCCACACCCTGTGTACACCCCGACAGTGACCAGCACTGAGGCTCCACCCACTCCCCATTTATACCCCGATACTGACCAGCACAGAGGCTCCAACAAAGAAGGCAGTCAAGTTGTTCCAGGCCAGGTCAATGTCCTTCAGGAGCCGCTCCAGGGAGGCTGTCTTTATACCTAAAACACCAACACATAGGTACAGTGTGACACACCTGACTACAACGACGAAAAGGTAATACAGTAAACTACATTTAAAATGAACACGCTCAAACGAACTGAAGGATAAAATGAACTGTATTTTTGGTCCCGGCGAATTGAGCTATATTTATAGAATAAACCACGAGGTACGAGTGATTACGGAAAATATGTCACGAGTAAAATTAATGTTTTAAGTTCCGAGCTTTAGCAAGGAACTTAAAACATTAATTTCATGAGTGACATATTTTCCATAATCACTCGTACCGAGTCACTGACGTTACAGCCCCCGTCGTGCATCGGCAGATACATGCATTTCACATTGAGAAGAGGAAACACGGAAAACCTGTCAATTTTTTAATGTGTCATTTGACAAAAATGCCAAAACCTATAACAACAACATAGACGGAATGTACAGAAGTCCTGTTTGTTAGAGAAAAGTTGCGAAAAGAAGGTAAACTTTGAAAAGTACGATTGCTGTCACAGTGTCGGAATGAATGACCCGACTTGACCCAGATGAGACAGCCGAAACCAGGAATGACAAGAGAACCGGCGTTACAGTTTAATCCGGACAACAAGTTTAATGAACATCGTGTGTGATTTGAGTCAAGTGTCACTGATGGGAAACATGTGCATGTGGGATTTCAGGAGGATTTGTCAAACGTGGAGTGGACACAGTCAGATGACGGGAGTATGTTGATATTTTGATGTGATTCATAATGGTCGAATACCTGTTGATAGACAAACACAGTATCTGGAGACTTGGTGCTAAGCTGTCCGCATTCACGGAGTTCATTTACCCTGGTAGTTCAATATCGGACACAGGATCAGCTCGCTGGGGTAAGTTTTCTTTTCCTTGTATTTTTAATTATTTTTGCTTTGATTTCAAAACCTGTCTGAGTTCAGCAAAGTGCATCGATTTCGCAACCAGATGCTGGTAATCACGTCGCTAAGGTAACACTCTATGCTACCCTTGATCTCCTTCAAAGTAGACAGTTCGAATTCTGAACTGTCTGATGTGCATGCCGAAATGATAAATTTGCAAATAATAATGTTTAGTTGAACCTTTCCTGTGTCATTAACCCTCATAGTCATATGGTCCCCGGACATCAGTCAGCCTGCATACCGCTCAGTGCCGTACTGTGCAGACGTCGCGGTTACGAAAAACGTATACATTGTATAAAAAAGTGTCACGTCCTTATTTCTTCACACAACGTTACAAAATTGTACGAAATAGTGTATCTTTATGATGTCTTTCGGAAAGTCTAAATGTCGTTGCAAAATGAATTTGTTTTTATTCTCATGCCATCGTTGAAAGTGTGAGTAGTCATATTTTTCGTGCTTTTCTTACCTTTATACATTTGTGAACAAAGTTCATGTCAACTTGTCAAGTTTAGTCTTTTTCATTGTGTTTTCATTTTCATTGGCAGTTATCGATGTCATCATCGTTCACAAAGGCAAACCTGTCTATACAAAGTCCGGTTTTTGGATTCGGGTGTTCGAAAAATTCATCAAACAGCAAGCCCTCTAGGCCTAACACAGACGCAAACCAGGACTTGGTGGTGATGATCTTGGCGCCCTAGAAACAGTTTCTGGCAACATCACAATCTGAATCTTGGAACTTCAATCTGGCCATATGCAGTTTTGACAACAAAGACATTAAATGTGTTCAGAGGTTGAATTATACGAATAACTTTTCATGTCAGTCAGATCTCCGTCCGCTTAACGAGGTCATTTACTTTGACAGGTCTCAAATGGCCAGCCATGTTTGCTTACAAACGGCCGGGACGTAGTTTTGGTTTTTACTGTAAAATGAAAATCATGTGAAATAAATGAAAAAAAGGATAATGTGAAATCATGTTGTTAATATGAAACTATGTGTCTTGTCTTAAAAATCTCGAGTCAGTGAGATTGTAGCACGTAAAACATCTGAAGGGAAAGGCGTGGATTTGTGAATGAATGGGATGAGAAAAAAATAGTTCCGTTGTCCAATGAAAATTGATCTTTGTTTTCCTGACCAATCAGCTTCGAGAATCACTAATTGCACACTGTGCAAATATCAAAAAGTTATTACACTGAATATTTGAGCCCATATGGGTAATAAATTGTATTATATAAAGTTGATGGATATAACGAACACACTTATAACAAAATAACGGATATAGCGAACTCAGTTTGTGGTCCCCTGTGTACTCTGTCAACGATAACGATAAAGAGCATAACAAGCTGTTAATCCCTGAGCTGAGCTCTTCACGTGTCACCAATCAGCCTATCAAAACATCCGCGGCCAAAATGGCAATAATCAATTGACGGCAACTGTTTTAGACTGATACCTTACTCAAATTAGACCCTCAATAAACAAGTGACATGAAATGGATGTACAGTCATGTACAGACAATGACCAGCAGTGAGGCTCCACCCACACCCTGTGTACACCCCGACAGTAATCAACCATGAGGTTCCACCCACTCCTCCTGGAGTTACCTACAAGTGACATGAAGTGGATTTATTCTGTACATGTACAGTCGTACTTTGGTTTTTTATCGAGTAACATGATGTCACATGATTTGATAAAAGATGTCGAAATGCGTTAACGAACGACGGATACAACAAACTAAAATCAGTGGTCACTTTGAGTTCATTATAACCGTAGTTCACTGTACATAAGTTCTAATACTTGAATTTATTGGTGTCATTGGCTGTTCTAGAACAAATATTTTCATTTCTTTTGGTTCCCTTATTTAAATAGCTTTGTAATGAACACCTTCAAGGCTTCAAGAATCAGCTATCCTGGAAAGTGAGTGAGTGAGTGAGTTGGGTTTAACACCGCTTTTAACAGTATTCCAGTTATATCGCGGCCTGTCTGCTTAATGTGGGAGGAAAGCCCGAAGTGATGCAGGTCACAGACGTTTACCATTTCGGTGAAACCCACGAGCACGGGTATGGTGCTGACAAACCTTGAAACATAATCGGGGGGAACCGGGATTCGAACCCACAATCATAGGTTTCTGGCGTGCCCAAGGGACGCAACTCTGCACAGCGAATCGCGGGGCCTTAGACAACTGGGCCACCCGTGCCCCCTCCTGGAAAGTGAACTCAGTGCACGTGTGATTGTCTCACCTGACCCTGTCATTGCTGCCATGATTCGACAGGACACACGGTAGATCTCAATGATGCCGTTGACATACTCTGACCCCTGGGATGACTTGATGACCTCGTTACAGACAGCTGACCGGCTGACAGAGTTGAAGATGTTGTTGGCATCTTTGATCATGCGGCAACAATTGTCGAAACAACGTTCCCACTGGTACTCATGATTGTTGCTCCCCTGAGGAAGAAAAATAAGCTTCATAAGCTTCTGAGCATCTAGTGAGTGAGTGAGTGAGTTGGGTTTTAACAACACTTTTAACAGTATTCCAGTTATATCGCGGCGTGTCAGCTTAATGTGGGAGGAAAACCCGAAATAATGCAGGTCTCAAACGTTTGCCATTTCAGTGAAACCCACGAGCATGGAAAAACCTAGAAACATAATCGGGGCTAACTGGTATTCGAACCCACAATCATAGGTTTTTGGTGTGCCCAAGGGGCGCAACTCTGCACAGCGATTCGCAGCGTCTCAGACGACTGGGCCACCCGTGCCCCCCTTAGTATCTAGTACAGGATCAGACACATAGCAAGTGACTTTGATATAACGCCACATTTGACAGTATTTCAGTTATATCTTGCTGTGGGAGGCAAACCCGAAGTGATGCAGGTCTTACACATTTACCACATTGGTGAAACCCATGAGCACAGGTATGGTGCTGACAAACCTAGAAACAAACTCAAGGTGAGTCTGAAATTTAAACCCATTACATGCTTTTGGCATGCCTAAGGGACACAACTAACTCTGCACATCCTAGATGATTGGGCCACCCATGTCCCAGGTCGATATACAATAATGCATCATAAGCTGGGTTAAACACTCTGCACATCTTAGATGATTGGGCCACCCATGTCCCAGGTCGATATACGATAATGCATCATAAGCTGGGTTAAACACTCTGCACATCTTAGATGATTGGGCCACCCATGTCCCAGGTCGATATACGATAATGCATCATAAGCTGGGTTAAACACTCTGCACATCTTAGATGATTGGGCCACCCATGTCCCAGGTCGATATACGATAATGCATCATAAGCTGGGTTAAACACTCTGCACATCTTAGATGATTGGGCCACCCATGTCCCAGTTCGGGTTAAACAGCATTTCTGTTGTATGACAGAACGTCACATCATCATCAGCTAAATGTGGGACACTGTGCTTGATTGTACATGTTTAATGCATTTGTGTAACCTGTAAGCAAAGGAATAGTGCAGGAAGACCAAGGACTATGACTGAGGTGAATCCAGGACTTAGACCCTGGTATCCTCCTGGTGGGGCACACAAGAAATGGGCTTCACACATTGTATCCATGTTGGGAATCAAACCCCGGTCTACGTAATGAGCAAACACTTTAGCCACAAGGCTACCCGACCACCCCCATAAGATAGGTGGAGTGTGAATGACTTACATGTGTCTCCCCGTCGATGTTGTACCGGTCGGCCAGCGCCCGCATCTCACCTCCGCCTACCAGCAGTGTCTGGGCCATCACCGGCTGACTTAGTGTCCCTGAAACACAGACGTCTCCCTACAGTCAGATGTCTCACTACAGTCAGATGTCTCACTACAGTCAGATGTCTCACTACAGTCAGATGTCTTACAACAGTCAGATGTGTCACATCAGTCAGGTGTCTCTCAGCAGTCAGATGTCTACCTACAGTCAGATGTCTCACAACAGTCAGATGTCTCACAACAGTCAGATGTCTCACAACAGTCAGATGTCTCACAACAGTCAGATGTCTCACTACAGTAGGATGTTTCACAACAGTCAGATGTCTCACAACAGTCAGATGTTTCACAACAGTCAGATGTCTCACGACAGTCAGATGTCTCACAAGTCAGATGTCTCACAAGTCAGATGTCTCACAACAGTCAGATGTCTCACAACAGTCAGATGTCTCACAACAGTCAGATGTTTCACTACAGTAGGATGTTTCACAACAGTCAGATGTCTCACAACAGTCAGATGTTTCACAACAGTCAGATGTCTCACGACAGTCAGATGTCTCACAAGTCAGATGTCTCACAAGTCAGATGTCTCACAACAGTCAGATGTCTCACAACAGTCAGATGTTTCACTACACTCAGATGTTTCACAACCATCAGATGTCTCACAACAGTCAGATGTCTCACAACAGTCAGATGTCTCACAACAGTCAGATGTTTCACTACAGTCAGCACTAGAGGTGTAGGTGTGTGTGTGTGTGTGCGTGTGTGTGTGTGATTGTATGTGTGAGAGAGTGAGAGATTGTACTAGATCCGACTAATTTTATAGTGCTAGCCCACTGAAATACCATGCCGCAGTTTTATATGAATACCTCCAATCAGACAAAGTGTACTCACTGATCCGACAAGTCCTTGTTTTAGCCCCTGAATGCTGAGCAGGGTAACAACAAGTACCATCTTTTAACATTGCACGGTAAAACATGGCTGGGGATCGAAACCCCAACCTTTCACTCTCTGGGCAGATGCTCTACCACTAGACCACTGAGGCAGTAGCTTGTACGTCATTACAACTTACCTTGAGTCTCCCCATTCTGCTGACCTTCCTCCATGAAGCCCTCCTCCTTTTTATACAGCTCCAGGCTGTCCACTGACTTAGACTCCGCACTGGCCGGGGCACGTGATGACCCTTCAAAGTTCCCAAACTCAACACTGGACACTGACTGACTGTCAGTGCCACCATTGTCTGAGTCCTTCTGAGCTGACACACCCTTAGAAATTGGAAACTCAAGACTAGAAATAGACTGCGAGTCTTCCCGAACCCCTTGACACTTGTCCTTCCATCCCCAGCTGTCCATGTCCTTGGAAGAAGAGCTGTCTGTTTCAGTCATCTGGATATCGGGGGACATGCTGTGCCCCCTTTCTTCACTATTACGTATAGAGTCTGTAGTCTTGAGCTCCTGTTTGTGCTTCGAAGCACTGTAGTTATGGGATGTCACTGCATACATGCTGTAAACTGTAGTAACAGCTGTATGACGAACCATGTCATCAAGGTCATACCCTCTGGAGAATGCATTACTGTCATCCTCGTCGTCTAAATGATCCATCGGTGGAGGAATGCGGTCGTCATCGATGTCTGATTCAAGAGAAGGCATACGCAAGGTTTTTGATGAGTCTTTTGATAACTTGTAACTGGCATTCGGTTCATCCCTAACCTTAAAAACACCTAGCACTTCCGTTGTTTGTAAGTTCTCCTTCTTAACAGTCAGTATATTGGAACTGTCTTGTCCAGAGTGAAAGTCGGACCAGTCACTTTGTGTTTCTTGCACCTCAGAGGCTGGGATGTCTGACTGAGCAAACCCACCCCAGTCACTATCAGTCTTTGATATCCTCTCCACAGCAAAACCTTGTTGAAAATCAGATGAATTAGGCAACGTGGCTTTCATTTCTAAATCTGTATCAGTTGCATCAACATTTGATTCGGAATGATTAAAAGATGCCCAATCTTCAGAAGGAGCTGGTTTATGGTCATCAGGAGGAGGAGCACTTGCTGCTTCAAAATCGGCCCATTCTTCTCCCTTGTCCTCCCCTCTGTCTGAACCAAACAAGCTTAATATTGATGCATTGTCTATAGAAGCCGAAGACTGACCTCTACCCAGATCCTTATCAGTGGACTCTGAAGGACCTTCTGTGAACCCAGACCAGTCTTCCCCTTGTTCATCAAAGTTGGCAAAGTCCTCTTCCTTTGGCTGAGGCTCTGTTGGAACTTCTTTTTCTGGAGCTTCATCAACGCAGAGGACCCGAAGTGCATTATACTTGTCCTCCTCTCCCATCAAGTCAGAATCAGAAGGACCTGCTCTATGAGCTGCTGGGGGAGCTTCTTGGAAATCTGTAAACTCAGCCTCAGTTGCCAGCTTCTGGGCTGCTGCATTCACAGTCTTCTCTGCATGAGCTGCCTGACTAGCGTACACATTCTTGGGTACAGGTCGGAACAAGCTGGACCCTTTCGGGGCAGATTTATAGTCTGTGAAGTCATCAGAACCTGTCGGTCTTGGCCCTTGTGTCAAAGGGGGTATGGATGGGAAAGGTAAAGCTGGGATCTTTGGTTGAGGCTGCACGATGTGACTAGTTGGAGGAGCAATAGATCTATGCTTAGGACTTTTGGTTTCCCGTAGTTCTTTCTTGCGATGGAACTCCTCCACGTAGGACTCAAATGCTCGGATGTCTTCATTTTCGGACTGCTCGGAGGTGCTGACCTGACTGCTGTCCCTGCAGTCGGTGTAGTCCTCATCCTCCAGGCTTGGAGTGCTGTGTCCTGGAGGGCATAAAGCAGACATGGCTTATAGCAACAGTAATGAAAAAAACAAATCATATGTATGACACAGGTGGAAGAGTTGATTGAGCCAGCTGAAGTGGTCCGTCCATGTGTGTCTGTTTGTCAATCAGGTGATCATGAAAATGCATATTTAACCTTCATGCATTGTGTTGGGGGGGGATTTTTATTTAAGAATTTTAGTAAGCGCAATTTGTTTCTCTAGAAGGAAGAACTAAGCGACTTTTGAGGGGGAAGGGTAGAGGGTAGGCATCTTCCTGGGGCAAGGGAGTTAACTGACTTTATAAGTCCAGTTTCCATCCTTGCCGAACAAGGCTGGAATTCCTGGACTCGATCGTAGCGCCACCAGTGGCTATTACGACTTATGTCCCTTCTAAGCCTCTCCTATGAACCACTCAGATTCCACCTCTCGTATCACTTGCATTTGCTTCAAACAAAACGGCGGTGCCAAGTCAGATGATGTAATCGATAATCAAGATAAAACGGGTCTTATATCATGACGTGCATCAAATCATGTAAGCACCTTGATTAAAAACATGAAAAGTTTTGGAAAATATCTGTTGACAACGAGTTGGCGCTGTACATGCTTTGCAAATCCTGCAATCGACCGAAATCTGCATGACAGTTTAAGAACCGCATTTCAATTACGTTGCGCTATTGCACAGACTCGTAAGTCCAGCCAAAATATACCTCCATAATACCTGCCTAGTTCGGCAAGGGTGGAAACAGGACTTTTATAGTCAGTTAACTCTCTTCCCTCAGGAAGATGGGGGGTAGAGGGATGGGGCCACTTATGAATCACTTTGAGTGAATACTACCATTGTCTAATGTTGAAGCCATGTTTAGTGCAGACAGACAAAAGTCTGTGGCACTTGTTGTACAGTGGTGTTTTTGTGGTGAGTTCGTGCGCTCATTGGTCCAAGCTGGTTCCCCTCTAGCCTCCACAGGCCATGTCTTGACTCATTAAAAAGCGACTACACCACAAATAAGGTGTATGTGTTTTTGGGTGATGGAGGAACGTAGTGCATACAAAACCTATGAAGTACTGTGGTTAAAAGTTAAAATATATTACAGGCATATATAACTGAAGTCTCAAGTATTTTTTCTCCCATGTACAAAGGTTTTCAATTTCAACATCAATGGATCATTCAAAGGAAACTCAATAATTCCTAAATCCTAATGACAAACTGCAGCCAACTTACTGTGTGATTCAGGAATGCAATAATATTTTATGTCGTGTAATCTGCTTCACAACAAACAACGAGATCAATACTTGATTGAGTGAGTACATATTCTGGGTACTGGTTGATTGAATGAAAAATATGATTGTTTGTTTGTCGCTTAATGCCTCACTCAGCAATATTCCAGCCATATGAGTGAGTGAGTATGGTTTTACGCCACTTTTAGCAGTATTCCAGCAATATCACACGGGGAACACCAGAAATGGGCTTCACACATTGTACCCATGTCGAGAATCGAACCGAGGTCTTCGGCGTGACGAGCGAACGCTTTAACCACTAGGCTCCCCGACCGCCCCTCCAGCCATATGAGGGTTATACAAATCCACTGATAAATATTGTGAACTATGACCCGCAATTGTGACACGCAATCAACCAAGTCATTGAGCATGACCACCCAATCCATCTGGCTGCCTCTTATGACCAATCATAGGTGGAGATCAATTCTAACCCGTAATCCCCATGGGTTGACAAACATGGAGAAAGGACAGCAATCACACAATCTCAAAGCCTTTTCAAAATGACTTGTCACACCGTTCACTGTACGACACCTCACCACCAGTGACTACCGAGTGCCAGGCATGGTAGTTCATGGTGACCACAACTACCATCTCTTAACGTCTTTTGGTTTCAATCGTCAAGGAATCAAACCACCGATCTTGCACTCTCCAGCCAGACACTCTATCCACTAGACCGAGGAGGCAGCCCATAATGTTAGCCGATGGTAGTTTGGATGACATCATAAAAATTCTTATGAAAAGAATATGCATCTTCCCATTCTAATCCACTTGGAAATACTTCTTACAACTGAAATTTGTCAAATACATTCTATTAACATGGAAAATAGTTTTTAAATCTGTTTATTCCGTGTTTGTGAAATTTAGTGTTGGCAGAAACGTGTATGAAATAATGATAAATAAATAGTTATTTGTTCCTGATCTTGTAAGTTGCAGCACAAGTGTCAATATATATCTAGCTCTGTTTGTTTGTTTGTTGTTTAACATCGCACTCAAAAGTATTCCAGCAGTCTGTAAATAATCAAGTCTGGACCACACAAACCAGTGATTGTAATCATGAGCATAAATCCACACAATTGGGATACGATGACATGCATCAACCAAGTCAGCATCTTACTCTAGCTCTGTAGACGCACAGCCTAGAAGTTTGCTTTTTTAAAGACTTGTTATGAAGATGAGTGGAAACCTTAATTCACTCATCATCAGAGTTTGTAGCAAGTTCTCCTTGAAGAGGACAAAAATGTTTACTATTCAGTTCCTAGCTGTAGTAAAATTGAAGCATTGAGAACTGGTTCAGAATTACAGCCCTCAAATGCTTCAGGCCCATGGCGACTACCATCATTGCATTTTCACTAGCCCTCAGCACAACTTAGTGGTCTCTGAAGATGCTGAAGATGCTGAAGTACTCACAAAACAAATGTACCTGTACGTCTGGTATTAATTAGAGCTGGGACGGGTAATTCAAGTCTTCCAGTCGGGTGGTTCCTGAGTAGGATCCTGATACCCACACACGACTACCCAGACCCGTGGTTAGTCACGTGATATATTGTTTAATGGCAAAAATTGTTCGCATTTCTTTCTGATTTTATAAATTTGAATAGAGATAAAACTTCAGTCAACTTCAAAGTATGCATGACCAGATAGTTTTATGCGTGTATCTAAAGACATTTTGCCAGGGCTACGGTCACACTATTCCCACTCGGACATTTGTACCTATCTCTTAAGACCTAGAGTGGGTACCCGGGTAGGGTCAGGTAAAATTACCCAGGTAGTAAATTTGGACTCGTCCCAGCCCTAGTATTAACATAAGTAAACCATCAGGCCATCTTAGAATATCTTGCACCACACTGCCATCTATGTGTCATATTTTATTTAAATGAAAAATCAATTCAATTAGCAATAACAGGTTGATAGTGATACGGTTTCCAGAGACAGGTCCAGGAGTTTAAGAGGGGTGCACATTATGACCAAGTCACTTCAAGTCATCTACCACGTAAGGTGTCTGAAAGAAAGGGGGTATATGCACACCCTGCACCTGGTTTATCAATAATTAATCATAAGCATGATCAGAAAATAAATTTATAACAGAAATCGTTCAAAATTTCATGATAGCCAAACTCAAAATATTTTGCATATATATGGTGTTTCACATAGTTTCAAATTAAACAATAATGTCAATGTGTAAAATGATGAAAATGACAATAAAAATGGTAATTATCTACTTGATGACAATATTATTCCGCATTGTTTGCTGCTGAACATGTTGACCCCTAGGAACCCAAAGCATAACAGAACATAATCCATGCTTCATGCAAACAAACACACAGTTCAAGACAAGAACCATCACTGTGGATGCTACCTGTGCAAAAGCAGGGGTGAGTGGGTCATACATACCGTATTCGACGTAATAAGCGCCCAAGGCACTCTCAAAATTAGAAATAGGGGGCTCTTATTAGAATATTATTTTGGTGGGAAAAAAACAGAGTTGAAAGATAAATTTCATGGTTTATGCTGACGGTCTGAACTGTTTATCTATCTAGATAGATAGATAGATAGATAGATAGATAGATAGATAGATAGATAGATTTTTCCAGAATATAATTGCACATAATTAAGGGTGCATATAACACACGAGTGCATAATTTACACGAATAAATAAGGCTTGTGTACATTGATCAATCGGAAGGGATGCTAATTGGGATTGTTCACTTGCCAATATATTAGCATATATCACCATGGGCGCTTATTAGAGCGGGCGCTTATTCCGTCGAATACGGTACATGTCAGACATCTTTCCACATGCTACTGGTGTTTGTCGGCCTATACAGTGGCCAGATAGAGAGAGTGAGTTGAGTTTAACACCGCTTTCAACAGTATTCCGATTATGTCACAGCGTGTCAGCTTAATGTGGGAGAAAAGAAGGTTTCAGACGTTTACCACTTTGGTGAAACCCATGAGCACGGGTATGGTGCTGACAAACCAAGAAACATAATCTGGTGAACCAGGTTTCTGATTGGCCCAAGGGATGCTACTCTGTTCAGTGAATTGCAGCGCCTTACACAACTGGGCACATGTGCCCCCGATATGTCTAAAAACTAGCGAGTGAGCTTTTAACAGTATTGCAGTATATACAGAATGTCAGCTTGATGGTTGGTTGGTTGGTTTGTTGTTTAACGCCGCATTCAGCAATATTCCAGCTATATGACGGCGGTCTGTAAATAATCAAGTCTAGACCAGACAATCCAGTGATTGATATAATGAGCATCGATCCACGCAATTGGGATCGATGACATGCATCAACCTAGTCAGCGAGCCTGATCACCCGATCCTGTTAGTCGCCTTTTACGACAAGCATAGTCGCCTTTTACGGCAAGCATGGGTTGCTGAAGTCAGCTTGATGGAGGAAAGTGATGCAGGTCTTAGAAACATCACACTAAGAAAGATGAAATCTACACGTCAACTGTGTCTATATTTAGGCCTAAGAGGTTAAATACCATTTTGGTGAAACCCACGAGCACAGGTGTAGGGGTTGCAAAGCTAGAAACGTAAACAGGCGAAACCAGAAATAGAATCCATGATTTTGCATGCCATGATCTATTCCAGCAATAGCAAGAGTGGCCTGGAAATCATAGTCAGGGCCATACCAGGAAAGCCAGTGAATGAGTGAGTGAAAGTTGTGGGCCAGACAAACCAGTGGTTGATACCATGAGCACCATCCAGGACATTAGGGCAAGATGACACACAATCAGCCAAGGCATACATTGTGACCAACCAATCTTCATTTCGTCAACTTCAATGACAAGCTTGATGTACTGCAGATACAGGCCTACTTAATCCTTGAATTAGGTAAGGGGGTGATGGGTGGGGGGTGGAGTGATGGGTGGGGGGTGATGGGGTGGAGTGATGGGTGGGGGGTGGAGTGATGAGTGGGGGATGAGGAGATGGGCGGGGGGCATTACTTTAGCAGAGGCAGGGATAGACACCTTTGGTCATATACAACTAGTCCACAGCTCATTTTGGACTACTGGTTAATGTGAAACTACTAGATTTTGGAGAAAACAACCCGCCGGCTAGATCTTCACTATTCTCCTCAGAGTAACGGATTTGTGGCCATGTCTAACCCTGATGGGGAAATGAGAGCTAAGACGACTCTCTCCCATCAAGGAGAAATCTTCTCTCTATCATTTAACATAGACCATTCCCTTCCAAAAATCAAGTCAAATAGATCAGTCCAAACAATACAAGACTGCCATCAGTTCAACAACTTATAATCCTGACAATCTCATCTTCCTTAGGCAAGGAAATTAACTAACTATAAAAGTCCAGTTTCCACCCTTGCCGAACTAGGCTGGAATTATGGAGTTATATGTTGGCTGCACTAACAAGTCTATGCAAAGTCCGGGAGCAGTCAGGTAGCCTAGAGGTTAAAGCGTTTGCTCGTCACGCCGAAGACCCAAATTTCGATTCCTGACATGGGTACAATGTGTGAAGCCCATTTCTGGTGTCCCCTGTTGCATATTGCTGGAATATTGCTAAAAGCAGCATAAAACCATTCTCGCTCACTCGCTCCCTCACTCACTATGCATAGTCCAATAAAATTCATGTAACCTAATCGACATCCGCTTCGTAAACAACATGGATTTCAATGTGCAGATTTTGGTCGCTTGCAGGATTTGCAAAGGATGTGTTCCGTCCACTTGGCATCAAGAGATATTTTCCAAATTGTTTCATGTTTTTAATCAAGGTGCTCACTTTATTTGATGCAATTCGTGAGGAAATATTATTATAGTACAGATCTTGATCATCAATTAGATCAGCTTGATTGGGCACCGCAATTTTGTTTGAAGCAAATGCAAGTAATACCAGAGGTGGATTCTGATTGGTCAATAGAAGGGGCATAGAAGGTACATAACTCGTAATATCCACTGGTGGCGCTATGATCGAGCACAGAAATTGCAGCCAAGTTCATCTAGGGTGGAAACTGGACTTTTACAGTCAGTCAACTCCCTTGCCTCGGGAAGATGGACAATCTTAACATATTTAATGATCAAATTAAATTCAAAACAAACTCAACAATCGAATCTTTAACTATACTTACTAAACATGAAAAACACACAATTGTAACATAGTCAAGCAAGATAATCTGAAATACATGCTAATTTTGAAATGGCTGATAATGAAAAGTTCATGCAAGAAACATATACCTCTGATGGTTAGCTAGGAGACAGCTAGAGCAGGTGTTAGCTATTGAATATTCTGTGGTAGGTTTTTGTTGACTGTTTATCATAATCAAACTTTACTCATGTTGACAAAACTATAACTTAAAGTTTACTTTTTACAGAATCGAAATATCAGTTTTACTGTAAAACAAATTAGTGTTATTACGTCTGTGCATAGTATGACAACATACCCTTAACCTATTAGAGATAGTCATAATGTTGGGCTTATGTAAACATATTCACTTTCTAAAAAAATGATTAATTTATTATCATCAAAACTTCAAAAACTTAAAACAAAAAACTCAATCCCCAGTTTTAACAAAAGATATAACAAAAATACTATTCATAATCAGTGAGTGAGTGAGTGAGTGAGTATGGTTTTACGCCGCTTTTAGCAATATTCCAGCAATATCATGGCGGGGGACACCAGAAATGGGCTTCACACATTGTACCCATGTCGGGAATCGAACCCGGGTCTTCGGCATGACGAGTGAACGCTGTAACCACAAGGCTACCCGACCGCCCCTCATAATCATACCTAAGCAAAGCACAAATAGTAGATTAATCAGTTTAAAATTTTCACATGACCATCACAAATCATAATTTGTTAGAAGTTTGATTTTGTTTGACGTTTAAAGCCGCACTAAGCAATATTCCAGCTATATGACGGCTCCCTGTATATAATCGAGTCAGGTCCAGACAATCCAGTGATTGATGTTACGATGTACTTGTATGAGCAATGACACATGCCGTCGGGGGACGATGACACGCTATCAATCGACCAAGTCACCTGACCATCTGATCGAGTACGTTGCCTATAATGACCAGATAGGCCGAAAGGGACCAATTCTAACCCAGTATCCCCATGGGGTTGCTGCTTAGATGGACGAGGGAAGAATAGTGACAGTAATTCACTCCACATTATTCTAAAAATCCAAACTCAACTTAGCGGATATAACCATTATGCCTAAACTGTATTTTACAAATCATTATTTGTGAAGACATGAAATTCATTCATTGTTTTGTTTTCTTGTAGAACTTGAACATTTTGAAAACATTTGGGTTGAATTCGAAATCACACCAGGAAAAAGGTCGCAATTCAGAAAAACAACTTCAAAAATTGTTCAGAGCACATACGCAAAAACAAATATTGAGTTTTTAACAATTTCAAAACCATGACCCAAAATCGACATTTCACACATCCGGTCAGCATCTTCGTCCTTAACCACTGAAATAAACATATGTGACATGCTCACTTTCAGAAGCCAAAACATGACAAAACATGACCTGGCAACACAAACAAAGCACCCAGCCGGAACACCTGGAGGGAACAAGGGAGATAACTAACATGCAGTACCTTTCGGATCTGAGTCGTGCTTAGAGGGATGGGCTGAAACAGTGCAAATAAAATTACACTCAACAAAGGAAAATCAAATTAGCTGAGGGAGCTGTTATAGAATATAATAAAACGTCAGTCCTAGATTGGCAGAGAGATTATGTGTGATGTGATTATTTCAAATGTTTTACTTTAACCATTCTTTATGCTTAAGTGAGTGAGTGAGTGAGTCTCATTTTTACGCCGCTTTTAGCAATATCCCAGCAATATCACGGCAGGGGACACCAGAAATGGGCTTCACACATTGTACCCATGTCGGGAATCGAACCCAGGTCTTCGGCGTGACGAGCGAACGCTTTAACCAGTGGGTTACCCGACCGCCCCATTTATGCTTAAGACGTGACTTTGTATCAACAGCAAACTGTCTTATTATGTAAGTATGGAGCGAATCGACACTAGCACAGCCCAGCTGTAGGAGGTCTTACACAATTGGTCATGTCTGATGAACGAAATATACAGTAAGTAAACACTATTAAAAGCTAAGCCTTTGCTAGGAACACACAATGCCGTTTAGAAAGTGGTCAAATATAACAAACTTTAAATTTGGGATAACACTTTCGAAGTAAAGTACAGATTCTTGTACTTTTTTGGGTTGAGTCCCGTTCAGGATTCGAACCCACGCTGCCAGAGTGAGGCAACTTGTCAGAGGGGTACACAAAGTAAGTGATCTAGACTACCAGTTGTCAGACTTTCATTTTGCGGGAGCCTCGGTGGTTGAGTGGGTTAGATCGCTGACTTTTTGTGCTGGCAATTAGGTGCCTCGCTCTGGGAGTGTGGGTTCAAATCCCGAACAGGATTCAACCCTAAAAAGTACGAGAATCTTTACTTTACTCAGAAAGTGTTATCCTAAATATAATAAGTGTGACATAAGCCTTTGCTGCTAACTGTGATTATTTGTCAATAAGTCAATCACAAAGCAAATTCTTTGAAAAGGTATTATTTGCCTAACTAGTCTTTGTAAACAAGGAAACAAGATGTTAAATATATAATTTGAAACTTACTGGAAAAACTGGACTATTTGCTCAATTTCTACAAATTATTAGTTTTGAACAAGCAAGCCTGGTAGGAAAACATATTTCTGTCCACATCTTATTGGCACATATGTTAACATTATAAGCTATCAAAATGTTACCAAAAGACATGATCGGGCAAGCAGACTCAAACACAAATACATAATCTTTTGCCTTTTGTGTTTACCCATATGTCAAATGTGTGTGAAAAGTGCTTGTCTCATCACTGATAGTATTTACATGACAGGCAATGATTAAAATGAACCTGTCAGAGTTAAATTAACACTTTTGGGGCAGTCTGTGTTCACATTGGATAAATTGGTCAACACTGACAGTGCAGCAACAGTGAAAAGGTGTCTTGGAAGGAGACCTATTCTGTAAAAATGTGAAAATCGTGAGTTTAAATTTTAATTTCATGAACATGATAAGCATTTAATTATGTGGCTTCTAATGATACTGAATGTATATGATAACACATAATGATTTGTTTGTTTGTTTGTTGATTAACGCCACAGTCAGCAGTATTCCAGCTATATGACAGCAGTCTGTAAATAATCAAGTCTTGAAAAGACATTCCAGTGACTGATATGAACATCGATCCATGCAATCGGGACACGATGACATGCATCAACCAAGTCAGCGAGCCTGACCACCAGATCCCGTTAGTTGCCTCATAAGACAAGCATAGTCGCCTTTTACGGCAAGCAACGGTTGCTGAAGACCTATTCTACCCCGGAAAGACGGGTGTCATGTAGATGGTTGGTTGGTTGGTTGGTTGGTTTGTTGTTTAACCCCGCACTCAGCAATATTCCAGCTATATGACGGCAGTCTGTAAATAATCGAGTCTGGACCAGACAATCCAGTGATTAATATCATGAGCATCGATCCACTCAATTGGGATTGATGACATGCATCAACCAAGTCAGCGAGCCTGACCACCAGATCCTGTTAGTCGCCTTTTATGACAAGCATATAGTCACCTTTTACGGCAAGCATGGGTTGCTGAAGACCTATTCTACCCCGGAATCTTCACGGGTCCATGGTACTGAATGCATATGATGACCCGTAATAATTACGACGATGATCATGAACATGGTGATGTAGATAAAGTGAGTGAGTGAGTGAGTGAGTTTGGTTTAACGCTGCCTTGAACTGTATTCCTGTTATATCACGGCTTGTCAGCTTAATGTGGGAGGAAAGCCCGAAGTGATGCAGGTCTCGGACGTTTACCACTTAGGCGAAATCCACGAGCACGGTAATGGAGCTGACAAACTTAGAAACATAAACAGCACGAACCTGGATGCCACCCCATGATCATAGGTTTCTGGCGTGTCCAAGGGACGTAATTTTGCACAGCAAATTGTGGTGCCTCAGACGACTGGGACACCGGTGCCCCCGATATATATAAAGCCATGGAAATCTATGGCCACAGAAAGATATATATTTTTATCACATAATGGTTTATGTTTCTGTTGGGGTCATTTACATCTATATTGCAAATAAAAAAGGCCTTTGTCTATCGGCTAATGAGTCAGTTTTGGCCATCGGGGATCTGGACAAAGTACTGTGATAATTGTTATGAGTATCTGTCAGGGATATTAAAAATCACCTTCTAACTGGGGCAAAGCTGAGGCCTTTTACAAGTGGAGGCAACACTGAAGAAATAAACACTTACACACTTTAGCGAGGACAGCAGGCACATCACATGCCATACCTGTGTTTGTACAATTAACTTTGGAAATTAATATTTTTGCCAAGGTTCACTAAATACAATGTTTATTTCTAATACAGGATATTTACCATTCCAAAACACACTCACGTGATAACCTCTATGTATAGTCACAGGGGTGTTGAAAATCAGTGCTCGACTTGCCTGATTCGTTACATGAGATCACGAGACAGCCTCAAAGTTTAGCTTCAAAAGCTGGCTGACAATCTCAAACTTAAGTAGACCTTTAGTCAATTGTGGTCAAATATTCGTAACAAGACCAAACTGTAGCATGTGGAGTGAGTGAGTGATTGAGTATGATTTTACGCCGCTTTTAGCAATATTCCAGCAATATCACGGCAGGGGACACCAGAAATGGGCTTCACACATTGTAACCATGTTGGGAATCGAACCCGGATCTTCGGCGTGACGAGCCAACGCTTTAACCACTAGGCTACCCGACCGCCCCGCATGTGAAGGACATAAAGACTGCAGGTGGGAACAATTTAACTGACGAAGTGTATACTTTTCTTCCCCTGATTTGATCTTGCATTCTGACACACTCTCTGATTGGTTCCTCACAGTACCTTGTAGCACAACGTATTAAGAAGTCCTGGCAGGTCCCACTCTCTGCTGAAAACGTATTCGTAGCTTGGACAAATATTAAAATATGCCAAAAACTGTAACATATGTTATTCCACATACTACACACTTGCTGCAAAAGGAAATCATAATTACACACGCAGAAATAGTTGAGAAATGGGCAAATATGACATTTTCAGTATGGCGGCCGTGGCCTCCATGTTTAAAGTAGAATCGGAATTGTGTGTGCATGTTTTAGCTACACCATAGCTGGATCAGGCCTTGTAGTTTTTGGGGAGATATCGAAAATTCAGTGAAAGAAAAACCAGATAAACTGGGCTTTGTGAAGATGAAAGATCACAGCTTGATGATAAATACTGAAAATGTGCAAAAAAAAACATATTGTATGGCATACCACACCATGTAGTTGCTGCATACCAAATTTCATAAAGATACAAGCAGAAATGGCTGAGTAATAGGCAAAAGTGACATTTTCAATATGGTCGCCATGGCAGACATGTTTGAAATAGCATTACAATCCTTAGAGCATGACTTAGACACAACACACTTGGTGTCATTAATGTAAAGTTTTAGTGGCAGTTTTACAGAAGATGTCCAAAATGAAAAAGTTATCAACGGATGGACGGACAACTTGCCATTACAAAAACTCTCTGCAGGCAAACAAGAACGGTTACCATGGTTACCAAGTATTTATTTACTCAGTCTACCCAGCAAATACCAAAATGTTTAATAAAGAATAGCAGCGAAAGCTTTAAAAAAATGTTTAGCAATACAAGAGTGACAAAATATTTCACAGAATGTCCCTCGGGTAGAAAATATTACCTAAAAGAACAAAGCCACGGCTAAGGGACGCTAGTTTGAAAAGGGCCTGAGTTTGCCCCCAACCCTCAATGCCCCCCATGAACACAGAGTCCTTTTGTATGCCAGGTATAGTTCATTATCAGTTCATCAACCAACATGGGGATGGAACTGATAGTGACACATCTGGCACATACTGGTGCCTGAACTGTTTGTTTGTTGTTTGTTTCTTTCTTTCTTTGTTTTTTAACATCACACTCAGCTATATTCCAGCTTCTTGACAGCGGGCTGTACATAATCAAGTCTGAACCAGACAATCCAGTGATTGACATCATAGGCATCAATCCACGCAATTGGGATATGATGACATGCATCTACCAAGTCAGCGAGCCTGACCACCTGATCCTGTTCGTCGCCTTTTACGACAAGCATAGTCGCCTTTTGCGGCAAGCATTGGTTGCTGAAGACCTATTCTACCCAGGATCTTCACAGGTGAGCAGCTGAACTGAATACTCAAGGCTGTACACAGCTGGTGTAGATTACCACTGCACATTCAGTCCCAATGTTCAAATCAGTAGTTCAAAAACTGATTGGGATACTAGTTCAGATTTTAATCAAAGAGTAAACAAAATCAAAATTGTTGGTTAGAGATTTTCATAAAGAAAATCACTGTGTTTGAGATACTGGTCAATCTATCTATCTCATATTTGACTTTGATCTTTTTCAAAATCTCACTTATGGACACAATTGTTTGTGGGCTACCACTTTTACCATTACGTAGATGGCAATATCTGTAGCAAATAAATTTTGTTGACAAGTGAAATTAACATCTATTTCTAACCCTTGTGTACAGGAAGTTCTGTGTGTGGGAGGCACCAAGTACAGAGGCTCTAAGTGCATGAGGCTCTAAGTAAGAGTGCTTTAGTACAGGAAGCTCTACGTATGGAAGGCTCTGAGTTAACTAAAGAAGGGGGGCTCTGAGTACAGGGGGCTCTAAGGGAGCTTCAAGTAACGGAAGCTCTTAGTATGGAAGGCTCTGAGTAAGGGGGCTCTGAGTACAGGGGGCTCTTAGTACAGGGGGCTCTGAGTACGGGGGCTCTAAGGGAGCTTCAAGTAACAGAAGCTCTAAGTATGGAAGGCTCTGAGTTAGGGGGGCTCTTAGAACAAGATGCTCTGAGTACAGGGGGCTCTGAGTACAGGGGGCTTCAAGTAAAGGGGGCTCTGGGTATGGAAGCCTCTGAGTAAGGGAGGCTCTCAGAATAGAAGGCTCTTAGTACAGGAGGCTCTAGGTATAGGAGTCTCAAAATACAGGAGACCCTTAGTATGGAAGCTTTCAATAAAAGAGGGTCTTAGTAAGGCAGAGTCTAAGTTCAGGAGGATCTGAATACAGGAGACTCTAAATACAGGAGGGTCTAAGTAAGGGAGGCTCTAAGGATTTGAGACTTCCACGAAGGGAGGCTTTAAGGATGGGAGGTTTCAAGTAAGGGAGGCTCTAAGGATGGGAGGTTTCAAGTAAGGGAGGCTCTAAGGATGGGAAACTTCAAGTAAGGGAGGCTCTAAGGATGGGAAACTTCAAGTAAGGGAGGCTTTAAGGATGGGAGGCTTTAAGTAAGGGAGGCTCTAAGGATGGGAAACTTCAAGTAAGGGAGGCTTTAAGGATGGGAAACTTCAAGTAAGGGAGGCTTTAAGGATGGGAGGCTTTAAGTAAGGGCGGTTCTGAGCAAGGGAAGTCATTGACCACAAGACCACTGGGGCAGTACCAGTGATAAGGGTTGGGCATACAAGAGGCTCAAAGTACTTGAGGCAGTAAGTCCAAGAGGCTCTAAGTAGGGGAGGTTCATAGTAACAGCACATCACTGACCGGTGGAGGAGTCGCTGCTGCAGAAGAAGCTCCTGACGTTGGAGTTGTATTTGTCATCCGGTGATATCGTCTCCATCTCAGGATCCAGCTTTGGAGCAGATATGATGTAACTATGGAAATAATACAGATTATTAGTAAACAATGAGTTCCAGGTGGCTTCACAGCAGTGTCAACAAGAGGGCTTCTAGTGACTCATATGTTTCTCTGCTTTACTGATCTTGACAGTGGGAGAGTTACCTTTGTCCAACCAATGCATGCCACCATGGAGTAAATGATCTTTGCCATATATATTTTAGTTTAAGAAACAGGTTTAACATAACCTTGTGTACCAGAATATTTTTTCTCGTACCTGGCATTTGTGGGTTGGTCAGTTTTGTGAGTGAGTGAGTGAGTTGGGTTCAACGCTGCTTTTAACAGTATACCAGTTATATCGCGGCATGTCAGCTTAATGTGGGAGGAAAGCCCGAAGTGATGCAGGTCTTTGACGATTACCACTTCGGTGAAACCCACGAGCACGGGTATGGTGCTGACAAACCTAGAAACATAATCGGGGCAAACCGGGATTCGAACCCACAATCATAGGTTTCTGGCGTACCCAAGGGACGCAACTCTGCACAGCGTCGCGGCGCCTTAGACGACTGGGCCACCCGTGCTCCCCAGTTTTATAAAAACAAATACATACGGTGGTTTTTCTTCCTTAATGGGAGGTGGTGTCGGTAATACTGCTGGTGCCCCACCAATAAAGTCGCCATAACTGTCATCTGCAAACAACACCTTGTATAGCCACACGACATTACATATAACTCAGTCTCAGAAAATCAGATCTTTAAATCCAAAATGATCCCTCTCTGAGTGAAGATCTAACAACACGTCGCATCAGGTGAACCCTGAACTTTGACAGCCCGATCTAGATTATAAAGAATGAAGGTGTAGATGCCATGGCACTCAGAAATGGTGGATGAATATACACAACACTATAATGACAAGACCTTTTTTATCTACATTCGGAACAGGATGATTAATTTTGTTTTCGAAATACAAAAATCAGATATGCTGGGCAGAATACTTCGCTCATACCGAAAACTGGGAACCAGCGATAATAGGCTGATGAGAAAGTTCACCTGACACGATCTCCTATGGAGGTGTTGTCAGATCTTTACATAGAGAGATATCACATCGCAGATCTGATCTTAATGCAATTGCATATAATTCATCCTAAATCAGCACATAATGCAAATGTGAAAAGCTTTTGCTAGCAACAGAGTAAATACTTTTCAGTTTCAATTCACAATGTAAACTGCACACTACAAAATCTGTTTAATTTCAAACTGATAATATACTTACACAGACTTGCTACAGTGTGCTACGACAGTATGTTTTATACATTTTTGTTGATGTTGTTTAATGCCGCAATCAGCAATATTCCAGCTATATGAAGGTGGTCTGTAAATAATCGAGTCTGGACAAGACAATCCAGTGATTGACATCATGAGCATCGAACTATGCAATTGGGATACGATGACATGAATGAACAAAGTCAGCGAGCCTAACCACCCGATCCTGTTAGTCGACGCTACTACGGGAACAGAAGGCAGTGTAATTCCATAACTCAAGAACTCGCTACTCCAAAATACCATCTACCTAACAACAGCTTATACACAGGAACCAGTGGTCTTGTAGTCATCTATCAATGTGTCAAACTGAAAAATTTGGCAAACAGTAGGAGTGTAACAATATATCAAACCATTAAACGATTGCAAATGTTTGCCCTACAATAATACAGTATCAACAGGAATTTAATAATGTCAATAGTAGGCATAATGACCGGCAGTTTCAATAGTTGCAAATAGTTATAAATAAACATAAAATATTGCCAATTTCAAACCTGCCTCTGTGTTGGTTAAGCAGGGATAACAACTACTTCAGATATAGAGTTACTTCCCTTGGGCTGAGTATGCCACAGGGAGCAAAATGGTCGACTTTGTGAGCAATAACTTATTAATTTCTATCGCATTAACGAATACAATTACTTGGTTTACTACTATCACAATACTATCGCAATAGTGTGGGCTACTATTGTAATACAATCTCAATAGTGAAAATAGCTCCAATAGTCATCCCTAGAATAGTTTTTTCAACAATATGAGACTAACATGAAGTATTAAAAAAAAGATGTGGCTCCTAAATATTAAATATTTACATATTAATGCTGGGCATTTTTTGTATCATGAATCCTCTGACTTCAACAATATTGAAGATGGAGCGGCGAAACGTCACTGAGTGACCCTTTCACATGACGCCACCTGTGAGGACAATCACAATCAGTTTATATTATTATCAATACAAACTCATCATCAATACGACACAAGTTACCCAATGTTCCTTCACCCATGAAACCATACGATGTGTGGTGGTTATGTTCTACAACAAATCAAGGAAAGGCTGGGAAGCCAGAGAGTGCTCAGACCATGTGTGTGGTGGCTGCTTGTACTTGACTGGAGTCCAGACGGTCTTATAAGGCTAGTCCACTGAGATACCATGCCACAGTTTAAAATGGAAACCCTACTCAGAGCTGACCTGCCCTAATTAAGGTGAGTGCAGGGCAGGGTAATAACAGGGTATGAAACTCCCAAACATTTCAGCCAGACCACAGGACAGGCTAGCTGAAATACTTGCCAGCCCTGACCAAAACCTGCCTGCCCACTATAATCATATGTTTCTCAGGATAATTTAATTAAAAATATGAAAACTGATTGCTTGTAGCATAAGCGCATCGCTAAATGTTAGGTTGTCTAATAGCTAACGGGGTTTCTTTTTGGTTACATTTTATGATTCATCTTTACATGTGAATTAATGCTTATCATCGGGAAATATTTAGAGTATTTTTACCTATGAAATATAACCCGACCGTCGGGCAGGGGGATTTGAAAATCTGACAGCCCGAGTTGAAATCAACCCGTCTCGGACGGTCGGGCAGGCAGGTATTTCGAACACTGGTAATAACAAGTATCATTGGTTGATGCTGCCAGTGATTGAAACATGGACCTTCTGTTCTCCAGGCAAATCCTCTATCCACTAGACCGCAAAGGCAGTCACACGAGTGTAGAGGAAAGCACTGACATATGATGGAAGACCACCTACTGACATATCCATCCAGGACCACCCACCTGCTCCTTTTCTGACAGCCTGTGTGGGTGCTGGGGCTGTTTGAAAGTCAGCGAAGTCTTCATCTGCCACAGGGAGGGTGGGGACAGGCTCTGGGGGCGGAGCTTGCTGGGGCGGGGCTTGGTATGGAGGCGGAGCATGCTGGAAGCCAAGGGGAGGAGCCATGTGGTTGAGGGGAGGCATGGCCGGACCACCTTGAGCTGGAACATCTGAAGGATGAAATTGGTAATTTTTAACTATCTCTAAAATGGCAACAAGATTGAAATATTTTCAATGTTCAATGTGGAACTGAAATTCTATCAAGCCTATCATGTCCATATTTAACACAGTTTTGTTATTGGTAAAGCTTTTTTTTTCTCATTGTTTGTTGTAAAACATGGTGACTGAGTGAGTGAGTATTATTTTATGCCGCTTTTAGCTATATTTCAGCAATATCACGGCAGAGGACACCAGAAATGGGCTTCACACATTGTACCTACGTGGGGAATCAAACCTGGGTTTTCAGCGTGACAAGCTAACACTTTAACCACTGGGCTACCCCACCACCCAATGTGGTGACTGACAATGCCTTCAGTAGGACAGTAAGTTTGTCTAAATAATGCCCTACACCAGAAACCTAATTACACAACTCTATGCTCATTGATTCAAGTCTTGAACCGGTAATGTCACATACTGGTGTGAGGAATGGTGGCTGCGGTCTGCGCCCCGGGTTGAGGACCCATCCACTGTCCTTGAGTATTGGTCATCATGGCCTCCCCACTGGGTGCCACTGTTGCCTGGTTACCAGGTATGTGCGGTCCCATTGGTTGACCTGCCACTGGAACCTGGCCCTGATTGGCTGGTGGTTGTGTTGGCATGGCAACAGACTGTGGGCCAAGGAATGGTACCGGCGGCTGAGGACATCTCAGCAGGATGTCCAGAGAAGCAACAGTGTAGTTGTTCTGAAGAAAAAAACACTTGAAAGCATCCAGCAGCTAGTTCTTACAGCTGAATCATAGCTTTGGATAGAACATATCCCCATGAGATGACAGTATTCTCAGCCATAACAACAACCACCTGGTATTTAACATCATCAACGGTTAAGGTAGAACAAGGGCCCTTTGGGGCCACTGGAATGTCAAAGTTTAAAGTCACGGAAAGTTATCAGCCATGTCAAATGGTTGACTTGTCTGTCACAAGTGCAAGTTTGTTTCTGGTAGGATCAAATACATAGGAATGATAAAAAACATTACTAAAAAAGCAAATATTTCAAACATGTAAGTCAAAATCTGACCACGTCTTGAGCCCAAGTGAACGCTTTATGTTGTTTTACTGTAATCACAGAAATAATCCGCATCTAAGAAAAAAGCATTCTCATATTCAAATATTAAATAATGCTTTAAAATATCCTCAAACATCAGCCCTTGCAACACATTTCATCCTTACCAGGGTGCCGTTGTACAAAACAACCTTATCACTACGAATGTCGCAAGTCAGTGTTAAGGTATGGGAGTTACCGTAGTGCTAAGATCGCTTTGTACAATGGCACCCTGTACATTTCGTGTTGATGAAAGTCCAAAACATGCAAGGACTGAAATTGCCTTGGAGTTTCAAAGTTCCATCAACTTGTGTTGACATATTTGACATCAAGGGACACGAGGGTGAGATTCTCTACATACTAATGGAAGTAACTTACTTGTGTGAGAGCAATAATAGCGAGCACTGCAAACAGTTCGGGTTTAGACAGCTGCCCTGGAGTGTCCTTGTTAGCCATCTGCCAGATCAAACCCAACATTTCCCGCGGTAGGCCGCTCATCATCAGTATCGGGTAGACACGGTCTGTCTCTAACTTCCCCTCTCTGTAAAAAAAGGGAAGGGATCTGGTCAATACATACAGCCCTACTGGTACTACACAATCAGTCTCCTGCCTCCATCACAGAGAGAGCTGGTCATACAGTCCTACTGATGCTACACAAGCAGTCTCCTGCCTCCATCTGCTGTCTGTACAGAGGAGAGCTGGTCATACAGCCCTACTGGTGCTACACAATCAGTCTCCTGCCTCCATCACCTGTCTGTACAGAGGAGAGCTGGTCATACAGCCCTACTGGTGCTACACAATCAGTGTCCTGCCCCCATCACCTGTCTGTACAGAGGGAGCTGGTCATACAGCCCTACTGGTGCTACACAATCAGTGTCCTGCCTCCATCACCTGTCTGTACAGAGGGAGCTGGTCATACAGCCCTACTGGTGCTACACAATCAGTGTCCTGCCCCCATCACCTGTCTGTACAGAGGGAGCTGGTCATAGAGCCCTACTGGTGCTACAAAATCAGTCTCCTGCTCCCATCACCTGTCTGTACAGAGGAGAGCTGGTCATACAGCCCTATGGTGCTACACAATCAGTCTCCTGCCCCCATCACCCGTCTGTACAGAGGAGAGCTGGTCATACAGCCCTACTGACTCTACACAATGAGTCTCCTGCCTTCATCACCTGTCTGTACAGAGGAGAGCTGGTCATACAGCCCTACTGGTGCTACACAATCAGTCTCCTGCCTCCATCACTTGTCTGTACAGAGGGAGCTGTCATACAGCCCTACTGGTGCTACACAATCAGTCTCCTGCCTCCATCACCTGTCTGTACAGAGGGAGCTGGTCATACAGCCCTACTGGTGCTACACAATCAGTCTCCTGCCTCCATCACCTGTCTGTACAGAGGGAGCTGGTCATACAGCCCTACTGGTGCTACACAATCAGTCTCCTGCCTCCATCACCTGTCTGTACAGAGGGAGCTGGTCATACAGCCCTACTGGTGCTACACAATCAGTCTCCTGCCTCCATCACCTGTCTGTACAGAGGGAGCTGGTCATACAGCCCTACTGGTGCTACACAATCAATCAGTCCTACTCACACTGTGGCTGCCCCCATCACCTGTCTGTACAGAGGGGAGAAGGTCATACAGCCCTACTGGTGCTTCACAATCAATCAGTCCTACTCACACTGTGGCTGCCTCCATCACCTGTCTGTACAGTCAGAGGGAGCTGGTCATACAGCCCTACTGGTGCTACACAATCAATCAGTCCTACTCACACTGTGGCTGCCTCCATCACCTGTCTGTACAGAGGGGGGAGCTGATCATCAGGTAGCTCACACCACACAGGTAAACCGGCACTTGTCTTGGCCACTATGGCTTTACCCGCACCAGATGAATGGCGTCTCTTGGTTGTCTTGACAACTGGAGGGGGAGGGGGAGCTGTAAGAAAGGGGATGCTCTTATTAAGCCTGAATGAAACATCTTGACTATCATATACCGTTATTAAAGCTTTTGAGCCGTGTATGTAGGATTTCTTAATTCTGAAAACAAGTTTCTACACACACTTCAAAGTAAATTTAAGTTTGTGTTTCACACAGTAATAAAGCCCACTTGGCAATTCACTTTAACCCGATGTCTTTGCTTCGTTTAACCCCACATTCAGCAATATTCCAGCTATATCAGAGCAGCCCAAAACATTTGCATCAGGACCACAAAAACCAATGATTGATATTGTGAGCATCGATCCACATCATGTTAGTACAATGACCACCTTTTCCACTCAGTGGTCTCTAGCGACCAGCACAGGTAGCTGTGGATCAAAAGGGCATCTTCACAGGGAAGGAGGACCGCCTCCGTGGTCTTGTGGTAGAGCGTCCGCCTGGAGAGCGGAAGGTCCGGGGTTCAATCCCCGGCCGCGTCATACCAAAAGACGTTAAAAGATGGTACTTGTTACCCTGTCTGGCGCTTGGCATTTAAGGGCTTAAACAAGGACTGGTCGGCTCGGAGTCAGTATACTGTGTCTGAGTGGGGTATTCATGTTAAACTGCGGCATGGTATCTCAGTGAGCTAGCACTATAAATAGGCATCAGTTTGGACTAGTACAAGCAGCCACACACACACACGTGCATGCACGTCGCTATATAAGTGCAATAATCTTGGACGCGACGTTAAACCCAATTTCACCTCACAGGGAAGGAACATAAAATGGGGCATCAGAGCAATAAGAGGAAATTCTTTCGAGTCTCACGTTCTGTGGCAAAGAGTCCTTCTAGGTTGTCATGCCCTGTCCAGTGACGTGACGAGTCGCTCTGGTGGAAGGAAGGGATGTTGGAGAGATGCTCCACCTGGACCTCCTTCAGGGACGGCTTGTGGAACTGCTTGGCTCTCTGAGGGGCGTTCAGGTCGGAGCACTGCATCATCATGGCCATCAGGTCGGGGGCTGCAGACAGGAGGGGGTAGCAATTAGGGGGTCACGATTCACTGATACATCCTGTCACGATTCACCGATACATCCTGTCACGATTCACCGATACGTCCATGCATTTGAATTTACACCTGATAATACAATACCAGTGCATCTACCCATCTGTCAACTAATGTTTTGTTTGTTTGTTGTTAAACGACGCACTCAACAATATTCTAGCTATATGACGGCGGTCTGTAAATAATAAGAGTCTGGACCGGACAACCCAGTGATTGACATCATGAGTATGGATCCACGCAATTGGGATACAATGACATGCATCACCTGATCCAATTAGTTGCCTCTTACAACAAGCATAGTCGCGTCTGATAACATATTGACACATGTCTTCATACTGTATTTACTTTCAAAAAGCAGTCCAGGTACTTTTTGACATATTGCAACAACCCAACTTGATAACTACACTAGATGCTATGACCTTAGGCTTATAATGTAGCACATGTGGTGTCTCCTTAGGCAAGTGATTTTCTTCATGAAATGCTTCTGTTCAGGCAGGAAAAATGGGTACCCAGAAGGATCAGATTGTAATGTGACTGTCAACCTCCTTGTGCCTGATAAGGCAGCTTGGGTTGTATACTCCCCAGGGAGTTGAGAATGAAAATCAAGTGCAACCTGTTCCATTGACCGGGGTAATAATGCTAGCACTTTGAGCAGGCACTGAGTGTATGGAGGCTAGCGTGATATACGTACACACATCAGGGTACAAAACACTATCTTGGTTCTCAAATCCCCACTTGTTGTTCAGACAATAAATTACACATACGATAAGCACCTCTTTTTTCCTCCTTCGGCCTCTTTTCAGCCTGTGGACCTACAGTTACACTTGAAGGTCTGTTGTTGCTTGGGTCAGGTGGGAGCATGCTTGGGCCGGGAGGGAGCATGCTTGGGCCGGGTGGGAGCATGCTTGGGCCAAGCTGACCGCCGTCTGCTGGAGCAAGGTTGGCTGGAGGAGTGGTCATCGATGACGATGATTGGCGGGACGGGCCCTGCATGAAGTCACCGAATCCGTCGTCCTCTGTTGAGTTGGGAGCTGCAATGAAACAATGGGAATCTGTGTTTGATTGAAAAATGCTTTCAAACATCATTTTGTTAATACTTTTTAAGGCATTTATCCGTGAAACTAATCCTAAAGAAATTCTTTTGGCAATACTGACAAAGAAAATTTGTCCCATCTTAAATGGACCGCCTCCGTGGTCTAGTGGTAGAGCGTCCGCCCAGAGAGCGGAAGGTCCGGGATTCGATCACTGGCCGCGTCATACCAAAAGACATTAAAAGATGGTACTTGTTGTTACCCTGTCTGGCGCTCGGCATTAAGGGGCTCAAACAAGGACTGGTCGGCTCAGAGTCAGTATACTGTGTCTGAGTGGGGTATTCATGTTAAACTGCGGCATGGTATCTCAGTGTGCTAGCACTATAAATCGGCATCAGTCCGGACTAGTACAAGCAGCCACACAAACACATACACGTACATGCACGTCGCTATATAAGTGCAATAATCTTGGACGCGACGTTAAACCCAATTTCCCCTCACCTCACCTCACCTCACCTCACCTCACCTCACCTCACCTCACCCATCTTAAATGAAACTCTAGCCCCATGGTCCTACATATTCTCATAAAGTTTAAGTTCGACAAATGTTGGGAGACACCCAAGACTCTGCCACGTTCTGCACACGATGTCAGGGAGGAGATATTGCTGATTATGAATGTAAACAGAGAGCTCTTTGGGCTGAGAATTTGCTGGTTTCCTCTCGCCGGAGCCAGGGTTTTGCTTGATTCATAACTTGACTACACCACATGTCTGTATTCAGGGCTGATGGAGGAGTAGTGAAGGACTAGGACTTCACTTTCATGCACTTTTTAAATGAAACATATTGCAATATACATTGGGTAAGAAAAATATGACAAGTTTCATTATTGTTATCGTTTAACCTAAAATCTATACAGAAATTCATTCACCAATAAAATTTCCTATCAAGTGATTGAAAAAATGCAGTAACGCAAAAGTGATTTTATTCACCCATTGTTATCTCCCCTGTATCCATGACTACAAAATGGCGGCGACTGACCATGCTGACTATTACATCATAAAAGTGACTTTTGTATGAAGGAAGTTGGATATGCACGTATAGGTGTCAATCACTGTGAAATACTTGAGCTCCCTATATATCACATTATTGAGATTGCAATACAATTCTTCTGCCAATTACAGCCCTTATACAAGGTGTTGAAAGTACTGAACATGCTGAAGGTAGCTGGGAGACTTGAGGTGAAATGGGGTTTAACATCGCATTCAAGGTTATTACACTTATATAGCTTACCATTAGTTAATGTCGTTTGGTATGACGCACCCGGGGATCAAACCCCGAACCTTCCGCTCCCGGGCGGACGCTCTACCACTAGACCTGGGAAGCAGTCTTAGTGGTCAAAGATCCAAGCAAAATTACTTATTGGGGTCAACTCCTCACCTTGTTGTTGAGGCTTTGGGGACATTCTCGTCTTGGGCTTCTCCGCTCCAAACATGTTGGCTATAAGTCTGTCAGCATCGGCAGTGATGGCGCCGGGCTTCCCAAACTGCTTGAGACGCTGCTGCTGCAGCTGGAACTGTCGCTCCTTCTCACTCAACTCCTTGGGGCGCATCGACACCGCACCAGTTCTGACAGACACAAATGAAGGAAAATACAACTTCTGTGACAATTTTGAAAAAGATTCCAATTTTGTGATAAAAACACCATTTTCATGATTTGGGGTCACTTAACTGGACAAGTAGATTTGGTCCCAGGACTTATAAATTTTTACTGTTAACTTGTCAAGAGACACATATATTGATATTTCTGGGACTGCATTGCTTGTCAGTGTTTATGGTAATGGGTGTAAAAGTGGGCTGTGGGCCGACTAGGGAGCAGTCATTGCTTTGTCTAACCAAGGTCATGTCCATGTGGTGACTGATGTACTTACCTCATGCGGAATTTCTGCGCCATCTGCGGGGTGTAGGGAGGGGGGGCAACTCCTCTCATTCCCATCTGCTGCAAAACGTACATTTGATCCTGTCAGTGAATCAACATTTTGATTTCTCATATTCAAATGGCATCTCTCTCCCTCCCTCTCCCTCCCTCCCTCTCTCTCTCTCTCATTTGAATGGCATGTCACTGACCCTCTCTCTCTCTCATTTGAATGGCATGTCACTGAACATACTGAAAATTGCTGCTTTTCAATATGTTCGGCCTAAAATTCAATGTAAAAAAATAGGAATTTTCAACTTCCACTTTCTTGGGGTGCTGACCATGGTGATGCTGGGATGTGTTCGGGTGAAATGTTTTAGAAGATGGAAACTTTGTTTTGGCGCGTTTCCACACAATGATCAAAAGAAGAAGGAAGACACGCGTAGTGTGAGATCGGACAAGTTTAAAAATATGTTCTGTGCAAAGTCATTTTAAATTTATTTTTTTCTAATTTCATGTTTTTTTTACACGCAGTATTGTAAAGCAACTAAAAACAAATATCAAGCCTAACGCTTTGGCATGTCATCATTCAGGACAGCCAGATGTGTGCTAGCATTGTTACCACGCCAGGCAACAAGGGATGACAGTGTTGTTTGGTCCAATTACCATGATTACCCCTGGTGTATCATATTATGCATTAACGAATCAATAATTAATTTTTTTTACATTATTGTTTATTGTTGATTTATTTTGTTGTGTCTTTACATGTTCATCAAGTTTAAATTTCTTAAAACCATTCAAAATAAAGCAGAGTGATAAATAATAATTATATAAAGACTGGCTTCTTCCTCCAGCTGGTTGATCCACACACGGAAACGTAGCACCTGAGTATGAACCAGTTGCTTACTTCATGATGTTCCAGACCAAGTCTATTCCACAACAACTACACTGGTGGTGTTTGAGTGGGTCAATAAACACACAGATAAACAGCACATCTGTGTGTAGTCTACTCTGTCTAATACTCAAGGCCAGGGGCGTATCACAGCTGTGGACCTTCGAGCTGTATAGAGATCAACATTTCTTTAAACCTCCATTGTTACACTGACAACCTGCATTCTTACACCGACTTTTCCTCTGTTGTTACACTGTACCTCCACTGTTACACTGACTGTAACTGCATTCTTACACTGACTGTACCTCCATTCTTACACTGACTGTACCTCCATTCTTACACTGACTGTACCTCCATTCTTACACTGACTGTACCTCCATTGTAAAACTGACTGTACCTCCATTCTTACACTGACTGTACCTCCATTGTAAAACTGACTGTACCTCCATTCTTACACTGACTGTACCTCCATTCTTACACTGACTGTACCTCCATTGTAGCACTGTACCTCCATTGTTACACTGTACCTCCACTGTTACACTGACTGTACCTCCATTGTAACACTGTACCTCCATTGTAACACTACCTCCATCATTACATTGTACCTCCATTGTTACACTGACTGTACCTCCAATGTTACACTGTACCTCCATTGTTACACTGACTGTACCTCCAATGTTACACTGTACCTCCATTGTTACACTGACTGTACCTCCATTGTTACTGACTGTTCCTCCATTGTTACAATGACTGTACCTCCATTGTTACACTGACTGTACCTCCATTGTTACACTGACTGTTCCTCCATTGTTACTGACTGTTCCTCCATTGTTACACTGTACCTCCATTGTTACATTGTACCTCCATTATTACACTGACTGTACCTCCATTGTTACACTGACTGTACCTCCATTGTTACACTGTACCTCCATTGTTATACTGACTGTACCTCCATTGTTACACTGTTACTCCATTGTAACACTACCTCCATCATTACATTGTACCTCCATTGTTACACTGACTGTACCTCCATTGTTATACTTTACCTGTATTGTTACACTGTACCTCCATTGTTACATTGACCATACCTCCACTATTACACTGAATGTACCTCAATTGTTAAACTGACCTGCATTTGGAACATCTGGGGCATGACCCCAGGGGCAGCCATCATCTGCTGCTGCATCATGGGGTATCCTCCGGGCTGCATCCCGGGGCCCACAAACTGGCCCCCCATGTTGGGCATCATGCCATACCCAGGAACTGAAAAAAATAACTAAATTGGATTATCAAGCTTCAGATTCCTTTTCCAGCTATGCAACATATTCAACACATTAAAGATGCAGCACTAAGCCATTTCAATCTTTACAGCAACAAGTATTTATTTAGACCTGCCGATATTTGGACCAAAGTCTGCAGCAAATGACACCAAAAGTTCCCAGTATGTATATAAAATTTCCCAATTCCTCAGATTTTTCGAAAATAAGAAAGGTAAGAAAATCCAATTTTGAACAATATCACGATTTTTTTCCCAATTTGCCTGCCAAGGGCACTTAGTTTCAAAACCTACATAAATCACCTCAATGTCATGATGTGACAAAGGCTTTAAGCCTGAGTCAATGGTCTCTGTGTCTCTTTATTAGGAGCTCAAGTTGTAGATGGGCAAGTGTAATACTAAATCTTTGATAGGCATTTACATGCTGGAAGAACATGAAGACATTAAACTATGATAATTGAATTCAACTGATGAAGAGGCAAGAAGAATCCCTGAAACGTCATTACAAACAATACATAAGTTGTAATCCATAATCATTAAATGTCTCGAAGTGCAATATAGGGATTAATGCCCTCCCACATGTCTATCTCAAAACACTTTCCATTTATACGCTGTGTGGATTCTCACATATTCATTCATATGACATCAAAAATCCCTTCATTTCCTTATACAAAAAAGCAAGAAATGACTGAAACCATCACAGATTTATCAAGAATTCCAAACTAAGCGCCCTTGGCAGGCAATTTTGGGAAAATTGTCATTTTGTTCAAAATTAGGATTTTTATTCAAGTTTGTATTTTCCTAAATTCTGGAGTATTTTAACATAAAGTTTTAATGTCACATTCAATTAAATAATGTTTAAACTAAGCTGGAAAGCCTCTTCCCGCATGTAGGAGTGAAATATAAGAAAACCTTACAAAGCCATGACATTAGTTGTAGCTACAACAGCAGTCATTGGAAAATGTTTAATTCCAATTTGGGAATTTTGAGTCACATTTGCTGCAGACTTGGGGTGCAGGCCTCAAAAGTTTAATTTTTACCAAGTAGCCATGTGGCTACAAGTATATTACATGTAGCCAGTGGTAAAATCAAAAAGTCAAGCCATTATTGTAGGTAGCCAAAGGCATTTGAAATTATCTTTTATCAAATAACTATTATATGTACAAGCTATAGCACTTGTCTTGGAATTGTATACAGTGGAAACTGTACATGCTGTACTTGAGTACTACTTACATTGATATTTATGCATTTCATTTCATTGTTGACTTTAGGAGGAATTATTTGCAAGTACAATCAGTAGCAGTCATGTTTATTTTTGTGTCTACATATGTGTAGCAATAGAAGTTAGTCACCACAAGATATTTTTGAAGGTAGTCATTTGGCTACCTCTGAATTTAAGACATTAAACAAATTGAAATTTAGGTAGCATTGGCAACTGTTTAAGTTGCAACTTTGAGGCCTGCAGGTGGAATATCATCCTCTGAGCAGGGCTAGACAAACCCCTGTATACACACAAGCAAGCTACACACAGCTAACACATGTATTCACACAAGCAAGCTACACACAGCTAACACATGTATTCACACAAGCCAGCTGCACACACAGCTAACACATGTATTCACACAAGCAAGCTACACACAGCTAACACATGTATACACACAAGCCAGCTACACACAGCTAACATCTGTATACACACAAGCCAGCTGCACACACAGCTAACACCTGTATACACACAAGCAAGCTACACACAGCTAACACATGTATACACACAAGCAAGCTACACACAGCTAACACATGTATACACACAAGCCAGCTACACACAGCTAACACCTGTATACACACAAGCAAGCTACACACAGCTAACACATGTATACACACAAGCCAGCTACACACAGCTAACATCTGTATACACACAAGCCAGCTGCACACACAGCTAACACCTGTATACACACAAGCCAGCTACACACAGCTAACACCTGTATACACACAAGCAAGCTACACACACAGCTAACACATGTATACACACAAGCCAGCTGCACACACAGCTAACACATGTATTCACACAAGCAAGCTACACACAGCTAACACATGTATACACACAAGCCAGCTACACACACAGCTAACACCTATATACACACAAGCCAGCTGCACACACAGCTAACACATGTATGCACACAAGCAAGCTACACACAGCTAACACCTGTATACACACAAGCAAGCTACACACAGCTAACACCTGTATACACACAAGCCAGCTGCACACACAGCTTACACCTATATACACACAAGCCAGCTGCACACACAGCTAACACATGTATGCACACAAGCCAGCTGCACACACAGCTTACACCTGTATACACACAGGCCAGCTACACACAGCAAACACCTGTATACACACAAGCCAGCTACACACAGCTTACACCTGTATACACACAAGCAAGCTACACACAGCTAACACCTGTATACACACAAGCCAGCTACACACAGCTAACACCTACCTGCTCCTGGCTGCTGGTGACCAGGAAATCGCATCCCTCTGAAAAAACACACAAAGAAAATTTAGCAAGTCTTGCATGTCTATAATGATGTAAAACCACTCCTTGTGAGACACAAAATATGACCAGAGTTGGATATAGAAAACACCAAATTTCAAGCTCTCTGTGGTCCCTAAAACTTGATCTACACACTCTTAGTCCATTTGTGAAATATTTTCTGCCCCAAACATGCCAAATGTGTTGCCACTTATACATGTACTTTGAATATTGTAGTGACGGCAAATCAGCAGTTTATAACCTGTCATTGTACATACCGTATTCGACGTAATAAGCGCCCCGCTCCAATAAGCGCCCACGGCGATATTTATTAATATATTGGCTTGTGAACAATCCCAATAAGCACCCCTTCCGATTGATCAATGTACACAAGACTTATTTATTCATGTATACTACGCACTCGTGTGTTATATGCACCCTCAATAATGGGCAATTAAATTCTGGAAAAAATAGCTCTTGTATATAAATATTTCAGGCTGTCAGCATAAACCACGAAATTTATCTTTCAACTCTGAATTTGTTTCACCAAAATACCATTCAATAAGAGGCCCTATTTCTAATTTTGAGAGCGCTCTGGGCGTTTATTACGTCGAATACGGTATTATTTATTAAATATGCCTACCAACAATGACTGAGAGAGTAGTACATTTCCCATAAATACTAGCTTTGGCGCTGATGCAGCCAACAAACCAGCAATTTTAATGAGAGGTGGTTATTGTAATTTGATACCTCTGATTGACCAATCAATTCAATGGTTTATTGTATGAAAGGACATTGGCCCATATACAAGTGAGTTACATAGAGATACAGTTATAATAACAAATATTGTAGTATAGACAGCAACAACTGACATAACATAAAAGCATGATGAATATATAAAGTACTTGTAGTTGAACGCTATACTTCCTGTTTGACAGCAGACATTCAAAGTTATTAATATTAGTAGATATACATGAAAATGACCAGACGGGTAGATATTTCATTCTTATTTTTTTATATGCAGGGCAAATAAACAAAAACTGAAATTCATCTTCAGCACCAAGGTTACAGACAGGGCAAATTCTTAGTGACTTTTAAATATTTAATTATCTTCCTCTATTCACTTTTAAATCATTTAGACCAAGCCTAAAGCATATAAATGTATTGCGGAGATTGATCAATCACAATCAAGTACACAATGTCATTTCCACATTTATGGTAGAAAATGTTATTGTTAAACGCGGCTCTCAGCAATAGTCCATCCAAATGATGGTGATATGACAAAGATATGTCCCACGTTGTCGTGTTATAATGAAATTTAATCAACCAAGCTACGGACCCTGGCCAGCTAATCCATGAAGTTGCCTCTTACATTCAGCTGGGGACCAATTGGAACCAGGAATCAACAGGGTGACCAATGACTGAACAATGAATAGAGTTTATCATCCAAACCTGGCTTTAGCTTGTGTTGAAGCTACCACTGGCTACAGTATCTGTGGACAAAAGGACTGTCATCACAGGTTGGATGCATGTTTGTTTGTTTCTCTCATGTTTCTGTAAGTGTATGCTATGTTTCCAAACAGATCATTCTGTTTAGTTTCTGTGTGTGAAAACAGTTCGCACATGTTTCAATAGCTTGTAGGGGTGTAAAGCCCACATCAAAGCAAGAGAGTGAGAGAGAGCGGAAGTGCGTAGTTCAGTAAAATCCGGACAGGCCATAGCTCCATGCAGGGCACCGTTAACCGGGCGTGGCAGATATTGTAACAGCACACACATACGTTACTTCGCGGAAACAGATCTAAAAGCATGCAAAAAGCATGCCAACCATAGTGTGTAGCTGTATTATTTTCAGTTAGGCTTCAGAGACAGGATAGGCAACATCCTTTGACAGTCTTGTCATCTAGTAATAGTCATCGTCATAGAAAGTTAGGAATTCACAAGAGTTTTGTAAAAGTGAATTAAAATACCAATTGTTGTTGTTTAGAATTGTTGACATAAATCAAAATAAAACATTTAAAATGATTTAGTGTCCTTTGTGTTTTGCACTGGTACTGTTTCTGCTGACCAATCTGAATCAACTCTTTACCCTATCAATACATTAGAACGTTTGCTCTCATAATAAAGAGGGATCTTACATGTTACAGTCATATCACTGCATGTCAGCTTAATGTGGTAGGAAAGCCCGAAGTGATGCAGGTCTTAGACGTTTACCTCTTTAGTGAGTGAGTGAGTGAGTATGGTTTTACGCCGCTTTTAGCAATATTCCAGCAATATCACGGCGGGGGACACCAGAAATGGGCTTCATACCTCTTTAGTGAAACCCGAGAGCATGGGTATGGTGCTGACAAACTTTGTAACATAATCGGGGCAAACCGGGATTTGAACCCACAACCAAAGATTTCTGATGTGCCCAGGGGACATAACTCTGCACAAGGAATTGCAGTCCCTGAGATGACTGGGTCGCCAATGCCCCCAGGGCCAATGACAACCTGGAGAAGTGCAATCCCCAAGGGCAGTTCATGCATGTGTTGTGAAACAAAACCCCAGTGTGTGCTTCATGCCCCTGGCTATTAGTATTACCCCTTGACACTGGGTGGAGGTGACTGATCTAACAATGTACCATATATATTTCATCTACGTCAATTCACAACAGTGAACAAAATTCAAGTGTCACATGATATAACATCAGTGATCATGGTGACATGTGACTTTCTCCTGTGAATGACGATTTACTGTGGCAACAGACTGATGACATGTTACAAGTGTAACAGTAGCCTTCAAACAAGTGGGACATTTTTAAGTTTAATAGTTTGTTTGTTCATCAACCATATCATCACCAACGTCATCATCAACATCATCATCATAGGATCAGTTATCATGTTTTAAATCTCTAAAGAATACTGCAATGTGACTTGTTTGTTAATAACTGTGTACACTTCATCACACAGTCTATTTATTGAAACTTGACGAAATACCTCTATTGAAAGAATCTGCCAGCTATGTAACTTAAATACCATTGAACATGGTATCACTTTTTTCTCGTATGTCCAGTTCGATGCTAAGAAATAAGTTTCCTAAAGAATATTACTATGTCCATCCCAGCATCTTTAAATTTACAGATTTGTTAAATAGCGCTAGTACAGAAATAAAAGACAAGAAAGACAGTGGGCATAAGTCTATAGGCTGAGACATAATATGGACATTGTGTTGACATTATCATTTTAATATATTGACAGCGAAAGTACAGTTTACACAGTAACCATGGTAAAAATATTTATGCAACAATTCAAACAAGAGATGAACCTATCTAGAAATGCTTTTGTAGTATTACATGTGTGAAGCAGTAGGCAATAGCATTTTGGTATTTCAAAGGCTATTTAAATTTGCATGGTCTATTAGTTGTGTCCAAGTAGCCATTAGTCCTTATGATGGGATTGTAATCCATCATGATCCATGATTAAGCCTGATTATTATGCACATTTCAAATTTGTTTTAGCCTTCAGTGCATAGTGCCTGCCCTTCCCAATCAATGCAGTATCACTTATCACTTTCCTTGATATTGAGAAGCTGTGGGGTAGCCTAGCTAGTGGTAAAAGCATCCACTTGTCTAGCCGAAGGCCTGGGTTCACTTTCCCCACATGGGTACAATGTGTGAAACCCATTTCTTGCGTCCCCCACCGACATATTCTCGAATATTTCTAGCTTGGCAGTGATCAACACAGGAGTCAAGATGAGTCTAATTCTACAATGCACCAGCTAATGTAAGATACTGGTTAGTTTGCAGATATGTGCAGTCTAACTGATATCACACTTTTTGGAACGGATGTGTCCACTTGTGCCAAGCATAGATTGCCAAGCATAGATTGCCAAGCTAAGGTACATTTGTGCATTCCAACTTTGGCATAGACACATAAGCAATGATATTACATAAAAAGCATCAGGCATACTTCAATGTATAAGTAAATAATGGTTTACAGAGAGGGAATTCCACTGTCACATCTATAGGTAATGTGGTACTTTATGTCTTCCAGACTTTGTGTATGACTCAACATTTGTTCAAAGACATCCTTGGTTTCATTTCATCTTTGGCAATAACAGCACAGAATTGTAGACTATTGTTGCAATTGGCAATTTCGGACAAGTGACAAGAAATCTACTTGCCATATCTCAACATGTGGACTACCGACTAGTAAAAGCTGATTTTACAATGTGTACTAGATCAAAAGAAACTGTACAAGTCAAATCTCAGGCTTCACTGGCATTGACGAATGGCTCAAGCCGCAGACTAAATAAATGATCATTATCTGATAAAACATATTTGATGCCAGTGATTGAATAAATTATACATTACAGCTATTTCATGAAAAAGTAGCGGCTAAGCATGTCACTCATTTTGACAGTCGTGTTCATCCTTTGACCGAGCTTTCTTCTTGGCCCTATTTCTTAAAAAAAGCCTTTCCTAGTTAAAGTGTCGTGAAGAAAATAATGTGAGCGATCAAACCACTGAAACTGTCACGAATTGTTAGGCTAGGACTATTCCGATCGTGTATTGAAAAATCAAAGTCGGGAAAGATTTCCTTTCGTTCCCCGCACCTGGTTTTCTTTTTCATTATAAACCTGTTGAGTGCATAGGTAATATAATGAAAAAACTGGTGGGGGAACAAACGGAACTCTTACCCAAAGTCGTTTTGCTGTCAGTGTCATTTCACTCAGCCAGACGGGAGGATAGATTTCTCACTATTTTAACAACAGACGTGTTTGGAATCGATATTTGAGAAAACTTATATATAATGAACTCATCGTTTGATTTTGTAAAGATGTAAAACGTGCCATTTAGTGTCCCCTTTGGAGATATAGATTTGAAGATAATTATGTAAATAGATATGAGACATAAATTTCCGGACACATCCTACCTGTTGTCAGCCATGTTTGGCACTCTTTACGTTTTGAGATAAACAAGTACGCGAAGATAGCAGAGTTATGTCCCTTTATGCAACACTATCAGGGGCCATCTCAAAGATTAATGTTCCAAAACTACAACTCAGCATTGGGCACAAGGCCTATCTATAATCAATATCACATGCATGGCTACTTAAAATACGCGTACATGGACAAGAAACTTTCTGAAAGGGACTAAAATATGTACTTTGGAATCTGGGCCTATTCAATGTTCGGGTTTTCTTGACGTTTGGTTTGGTAGAGAAAAAGCAATGATTAAAGCGTTGAACACTAGATCAGGGAGTCTATATAAGATTTGTATAGACCTCATGAACAGATTCAAATTGCTGGTTGTGAATTTTTTTAGAGGCAATATTTGTAATGGTTATTTTTCAATGATAATGATATGTGGGATTACCTTAATGACAAACAATACGTGAGTAATTATGCGTTCGAATGCAATTAACCAACATGCATAACCTTTTAGGGTGGTCGCAATAAACTGGTATACATTCGGTGAGAATAATCCTTTCGAGGACATATCTATGAACAATCTCCGACCATTTCTATTTCCGGTGCTGGAAAAGACATTGTAATAAAACTCTGAGAAATGAACACAGCGTCTCTATTTAATCAGGGTAACCGTTTATCGCTGGATTAATCTAGATAATAAGATTAGAGAATGAAGCATTGTTTACAAAGATTTTATTTTTCAAATTCACTGGGACTGCGAATTTGCGAGACCAGGCATTTTAGGCACCTCACTTCCCTGTGCCCTGTGTTTTGTCCCTTTGATGCCAGAAATTATGATTGTGGGTTCGAATCCTGGTTGGCCCCGATTATGTTTCTAGGATTGTCAGCACCATACCTGTGCCCGTGGGTTTCACCGAAGTGGTACATGTCTGAGACCTGCATCACTTCGGGCTTTCCTCCCACATTAAGCTGATACGCCGTGATATAACTGCATGGAATAATATTAAAAGCGGCGTTAAACCCAACTCACTCACTCACTCCTCACTATTACAGCCAGGGTGCCAACATTCTCTATATCAGCCCGATGCCGCAGTGCAGTACGCTGGATGCCATGAAAAAATGTTTATCTGGTATGCGAATGTCAGTATTTCAATAATGAAGTTCATCTTTCGCCTTTTCTTGTTGTATATTTGTCCCTAAGCTTATGAACACGCATGGTCATGATATTTTATTCTATGAGAAAATCCCAGTCTAATATACTTGTACCAGCTGCGTATACATGGATATGAATAAAGAGTTCTTAAAATAGATGCCAAGTGCTCGAATTGCTTAGACAGCTGGGTCACACGTGTCCCTGAAACCAGGATTAAGTGCTACATGCCGGGTGCCTAGAGAGCGGGGTTCGCACCAATTTCATACAGGGCCCTCTAGGCATGGTAGACAGACCTAAATCAAATTATTTTCCTTTCCGTCCAGCCCGATATTAATGTAATGCTGTAGCCCTATATGTAGCAAGTCTAGATTTTCCACATCTCCTATCACTTCAGTTTAAATGGAGTTGTTTGTTTCTACCAAAATGACATATACTTCATATATAGCTTAAGAGCAAACTATAGTCTGCATATCGACAGTAAACGTATAACAAACCTATGACAACATCATGACCAAGTGGTAATATTTGAAAACTTGATCCGCGCTTGAGGTAATGGTGCCATTAGGCCTGCATAGATCTCCATACGGAAGCTAAGATTATGTTATTTAATCAAACTTGCATTGTTCCGTCTTTGTAACTTTCTATAATCTACAAAAAAAACATACCGTTGTTATTAATTAACAACTTTTAAAGAGCGACTTAAAATAACATTTCATTGAAAAACGTTAACCTTCATGCGTTTATACAACTGCAGTGATATTAGGTGTTTTTATTCAACACCTTTCATTAGTTCCAGCAGCGCCAATTACAACAAATGCCATTATAACAAGTAATATTTTTATCGTTAAGATTATTTATAACATTATGAAAGAATTTGTGGCCAAAAATATGCAGAGGGAAGAGACCAAAAACTCCGAATTACGCATTGATTGATTAATGCCAGGCTTTAGCCCGATTGAGCGACTCCTCTTGCTGATGTAGACATATTGTACGGTGGCACATGTGGTGGACGGAGTTCGACTGGATCGAAGCAGCAGTTTCAAGAAGACCGAGTGACAGGAAGCTCCACCCTGCGTGTAAGTGTTTTAGTAGGAACGATTACAGTTGCGTGGACTCTCCGGCGCCGAGAAGTGACTGACAACATCATCTTGCGCCTGAAAGTGTGTTCGCGAAGAGGCTGTAGATTACGTGGTCAAGCTTGGTCGATGACCAGAGCAAACATGAGATGGGAGGCTGTATCAGTAATAACGTTTACTTTGTAATTTGGAACTTTCCCTCGCAGACAACATGTGTGTAACAGGGGCAATATGCCTTCAATGAGATGAGCACTGAAGGTTAGAAATTAATATTTTGTTTTCAGTAGTCGGATCGGCACAACATATTTGGGGACCCATATCTGTTACATATCTATGATGACCCATCCCGTAGATCCGTGGTAGAATAGGTCTTCAGCAACCCATGCTTGTCGTAAAAGGCGACTATACTTGTTGTAAGAAGCGACTAACAGAATCGGGATATCAAGCTCGCTGACTTGGTTGATGCATGTCATCGATCCCAATTGCATAGATTGATGCTCACGATATCAATCACTGGATGGTCTGGTCCAGACTCAATTATTTACAGACCGCCATCATATAGCTGGAATTTTGCTGAATGCGTTAAATGACCAAACAAACAAACAAACGAAAAAAACAAACATACATTTAGGCCTGAAGGCTAGAGAGTTGCATCTTAAAATTACCAACTGTATCACAGTGAGCTGAGTAACAATGAGAAGAATTAGAATAAATATTGTCAAAGTTTAGAGTTGGAAGATACATGGTCACTATAAAAGCCAGCATGCAGTGACTTACAGTGAATGGTAGTGGTAGATCTACCTGAAAGTACAGTATCTCCTTCTGCAAATAGTCAATAAGTGCCAACACCAAAAAACAGTTGTGCTACTGGGAGGGTGGACAAGTATCAGTAGAACGTATTTCAATATTGGCTGCGGCCATATTGCTTGTGGAAAGGAAGTGTGTCCTAACAAGCTCCTTCCCAGCGCGTGACACCTTCGTTACACTCTCAGTAACATCGCTGCCACCAGTGTGGTCACGGCCATTTCAAGAATCTTGAAATTTGCCCTCCAACCCCATATGTAGTAACGTTTATACTTTTGTTTCTGTCTTTGGGAATGCCATCATATTTCAATTTGAAAAGGTTTATGACTGACCATGTTTTCCAGATGAATTTACTTTGTTGTTTTGATAATCAGATTGGTTCGAGATTGCAGACTAACGGAAAATCAACCAACTTCTCCCTTACATTCTTACTATATCAATAACATGATAGTTTAAATGAAACAGAAATTCAAATTGACAAACGAAGAAAGTAATTTAGCATCGATAAGTGTATTCGGCGTCACGACAGTCGTCACTTGTTTGTAAACATAACGGTCATTCGGTTGCCAGTTCAACTCCAAGCATGGTTGTGGCCACCTATTCACAGTGGGGAGTTTTGACTGGTGGCAGCGATAGTATAGAGAGCTCCGGGAACATTCTATCGCTGTGAGGAGCTTGGTGTCCTAATAGTCAAGGGAGACAACTCTGAAACGGCAAACTCGCCTCAAGGTAACATATGAAACAGTAATGGTCTAAGGGAGACAACTCTTGCTTAGAGTTAAAATATGTTTTTAAAAAACAAAATAATACAAATATCTAATGGTAAAAATGGTAGTCCACAAGGAAATGCTGCTAGTCCTTCCTGAATTTGATGAGTTTTGGACTTTTGGTCTTGTTCTCTTTGGCAATGAGTGAGTGAGAGTGAGTTGAATGAAGCTTTGAACAGTATTCCAGTTATATCATGAAGTGTCAACTTATATGTGGATGAAAGCCAGAAGTGATACAAGTCTCAGACATTTTCCACTTTGGTGATGGTGCTGACAAACCAAGAAACATGATTGGGGTGAACCAGGATTCAAATCCACAATCATAGGTTTCTGGTGTGCCCAGGGGACGCAACTCTGCACAGCGAATTGCAGCACCTTAGATGACTAGGCCACCCTTGCTGCCTGGTGGTTTCGCACTATAGGACTTCTATGGGAGCAGAAGGTCGGGGGTTTGATCCCTGGCAGCGTCATACCAAAACGTTAAAAGATGGTACTTTTTGTTATCCTGCCTTGCACTTTGCATTAAGGGGCTAAAACAAGGACTGGTCAGCTCGGAGTCAGTAAACGTGTTGGAGTCGCTATGTAAGTGCAATAATATTGGATGCGACATTAAACCAAATTTCACCTCACTCACTCACTCACTCACTTGCTCACTCACCATCCAGGGCTGTATATAATGACATAAGTCCATAATTTCAGTAATTCCTGATTTTCCTTGGTCGATCAATTTTGATCAATTTGATCAATTTTGGACATGGGCCATTGCGCTCACTGTGATAAAGGCACCTGTTCTGGAAGGGGTCCCCCCCATGGATGACCTGAGATGCAACTGTGCTGACCTATCATCTGCTATAGGTGCCTCCTGGCTGGTCATTGATCATCAGGGATTAGTGACTTTCCGACATGAGAAGTGGTTTCTCACCTCGCCCCTGTACTGATGTGTTCTTGGGTTGCCCCATCTTCTCGAGGCAAGAGAGTTAACTGACTATAAAAGTCCAGTTTCCATCCTTGCCGAACTAGGCTGGTATTATGGAGTTACATTTTGGCTGAACTAACGAGTCTATGCATAGTCCAATCAAAATCACACTCCGAAATCGGAATCCGGTTCGTAAACTGTCGTGCAGATTTCAGTCGATTGCAGGATTTGCAACACATGTGTACTGCCAACTCGTTGTCAACAGATATTTTCCAAATCTTTTCATGTTTTTAATCAAGGTGCTCACATGATTTGATGCATTTTGCGATGTAAGACCCGTTTTATCACAATATAGATCTTGATTATCGATCAGATCGTCCTGACTGAGCGCCACCATTTTGTGTGAAGCAAACGCAAGTGATACGAGAGGTGGAATCTGATTGGTCCACAGGAGAGGCTTAGAAGGGACATAACTGGTACTAGCCACTTGTGGCACTACGATCGAGCCCAGTAATTCCAGCCTAGTTCGGCAAGGGTGGAAACTGGACTTTTAAAGTCAGTTAACTCACTTGCATCGAGAAGATGGCACTTGCCCCATTTTAATGGTGAGATCCAGGAAGATTTTGAGGTTTTCAACTGATAAGTTGTTTACAAGATCGTTTAACTGTTCGTCACCCACCAGTGTTTTGTTGTGATAGGTGATTGTGCTGTTTCGTATGCTTCAAATGTTTCATTGCTTGAATTTGTATCACACAAAACAACATTCAAAATGTAAGAAACAGGTTGCATTTAATTCATTAACTTTAACAAATGCAATAAGTCAACATCAATGAGGGCGAGAATGATTATTTACAGTCCGCTGTCATATGGATGGAATATTGTTGAGTGCGACGTTAAACAACAAACAAACAAACATTAGCAAGAATTTATCTGGGCAGGCATATTGGGAAAAAATATTGTCAGTGATAGAAATTGGCAGTAGTCCAATAGATCTAGCCGAAATGCAAAATAATTAAGGTAACGCAAGGACTAGTATAAATTTGCCTTTTTTTAGGAATTTGCTATATGTTATTATAAGGACTAGTGGACTAGAAATGTTAGTTTTTTTCGCTGGTGACCCCTGAAGATCCATGGTAGAAAAGGTCTTCAGCAAACCATGCTTGCTGTAAAAGGCGATTATGCTTGTTGTAAGAGGTGACTAACAGGATCGGGTAGTCAGGCTCGCTGACTTGGTTGATGCATGTCCAATTGTGTGGATTGATGCTCATGATATTAATCACTGGATTGTCTGGTCCAGACTTGATTATTTACAGCTGGAATATTGCTGAGTGCAGCGTTAAACAACACACCAACCAACCAACCAACCAATCTTTCACTGGTCATGTTCCTATACATGTATCAATTTAAGGTACCGTATTCGATGTAATAAGCGCCCGGGCACTCTCAAAATTAGAAAGGGGGCTCTTATTTAAATATAATTCTGGTGAAAAAAAAAACAGAGAAGAAAGATCCTAAAATTCATGGTTTATGCTAACAGCCTGAAATGAAACAAAAGAAAAGTCTGTGTGTATTATACACGACAGATACATTTTCCAAAAATAATTGCCCATAATTAAGGGTGCATAATGGGTGTGCATTATACACGAATAAATAAGTCCTGTGTACATTTATCAATCGGAAGGGGTGCTAACTGGGATTGTTCACTTCTAATATATCAGCAAATATCGCAGTGGGCGCTTATTAGAGCGGGGCGCTTATTACGTCGAATACGGTATTCTAACATTGCAAACTAAGTCACATTTTAAAGGCTGTAAAGCTTCAGGTAAAAAATATATGATAACCTGAATTGGGCCATCTTCTATCCATAAAGGGAATAAATATGAACCTTTGAGAAAGCTTGAAGAAATCCCAGCTTACTTATGACTATCATAGACAGAGATCAGATCGACGTAGCGTGTTATATCCATGATTGAATGTTTTTCTCACTATATTTCAGACAGACAATTCTTCTTATTTTTTGGGAGGGCATGGGTGGTCTTTAGAGGGTTGCACCTTGCTGTGAAGAGTTGTGTCCCTTAGTAGTGACAGGATCAGCTGATCCTTAGTTTGAGTCCTAAATTAACCTGATTATGATCCATGTCCTGTAGTCAAAATGGCAGTCCTTGTGGGATTCACCAAAATATGTAGCATCGTCAACCTGTGTTGTGTTCCTCCCACATCAAGCAACACGGTCAGATTTAAAAGTTGTGTACTGGAGCATTGAAAACAGATACTATAGTCTTACAGGGCCTGAAAGTGTGGGTGTCCAATATATATTCACTGCCAAAAGAAATGTGAATACCTTACATGTTGGCTTATATATGAAGACTTACTCATATTCAAGAGATATTAGTTGGTAGGATGCACAAACGACCATACTGGTATGTTGTGTGAACCGACGCTCATCAACGCATCACATGTGACATTGTAGAACCATGACCATTTGTCTCGTGCAGGATTAGCCTGTAAAGTTTGGAAATCATGTGCAGCATATCATAAGAATACAGTCACTCGGTGGTGACATTTGCCTGATTGTTAGTTTTGTCATTAATTGGTACACATTGGAAATATCCTTTGTTAATGTACATTCTTCTCTATATATTTCTATGGTTCGCATATCTTTTGTATTTCTATATACACACTATGATATATGATGTAATATGCAAAGTGACTTTTATCCCAACTCATTGTTATCTACTTGGCAGATCCTGGAGGAGGAAATACAACTCCGCAGTGTTCTTTCAGCAAGGCGGTACAGCGAGGAAGTACATACTCAGTATTGAAGTGCAGCTCGTATGTCGCAGTCTCTGTTAATCAAATACCCTTCACTGTGGTCAGATTTATAGGATTGTGTTGAGCAGCATATAAACAGCGTTAGGCAAGTCATGTCTGACAACCTACGACTCATAACGGAGCATTCTACTGATGTAGAGAAAGATGGGATGAATCTGGACATCGACCACCTCCAGAGTGCTGCAGAGGCAAGACTGACGCAGCCTGACATACAGTCAGGTGATATTGTGGTGAATCTCCAGGATTGCAGAGACGGCATCACCACGTCAACTGATAACCTAGCTGGGCCTCTTGAAACTTTTGCAGCTATTGAAACCAATATGGAAAGTTTAACATCAGGTGGTATGCCCGCTGCTGAACATGCTGCTGGTATCAGTGACATGGATGGCACAGAGGACACAGGACATAGGCCTTGCATCAGCAGCAGCAGGCTTAGTGTGTCGTCTGTAATCAGGGCACCTGATACAAATAAATATTCAGGATGGTTCCAGTGCTCAGACTGTGGACAGAAGGTCAAGGGGAAGGCAAAGTTGAGGTCTCATGTGATGCTCCTCCACAATGGAAGCAAGGGTTCCTCAGTGACTCAGACAGTGTTGCAGAGAAAGACATCTTGGCTCAAGTGTGGAGTGTGTGGAGAAAGAGTCAGGGGAAAGAAAAATCTCAGCTTGCATGGCTTCTTCGCCCACAAAGGACAGACAAGAATAAAGAACATTGTTAAGAAAATGAGACTTTGTTCATCGATAAATTCTGCTCATAGCACCGTGGTGACAGATTCCACAAGTCATTGTAATAATTCTGTTACAAAGTCCAAGACAGATTTTAAACACCTCAGACTTGGACCTTGGTTCAAGTGTCGGAGCTGTGAGCATATTTTCAAAGGAAGGTCACAGCTACAGGAGCATGTTCGACTGAAACACCAAGATTTGAATCCAACTCATGAGGTCCTGCCAAGCATCCCCAAGGTTACACACTGTCCCAAATCAGATCAAAGTCAAGGATCGGTGGACAGGAAATTGATGGATGATGCTGTGCCTGAACTTGTCCCAGAATGCCCAGTTGAAAATCGGAATGTTGAGTCAGGTCTCGGCTTCAGTGAGCAGGAATTGTTACGTAAAAAGCATAGAATTTGGTGTCAATGTGACCTGTGTGGAATCAAAGTGAAAGGGAGAAAGAGACTACAAAGACATCTTAGTGAATGTAAATGTCGACAACAGAGTTTGCGAACTGATCTTGGTGCATCTGAGGCTTCTTGTACCGTGAAGCATTGTTCGTGGTTCAAGTGTAAACATTGTTGCGGTAACTTCAGAGGAAGAAAGACGTTTATGCAACATACACTCCTGTGTATGAAAGCACTGGAAAAAAGCACAGCATTGTGGCACAAGCTCTCCCACTGGAAACAGTGTGCCTGGTACAAATGTACCGGATGTCGGCTCTCATTCAAAGGGAAGGAGAGAATCAGACTGCACGCCTATGAATGTCTCACTCAGACTCAGACGGCCTGTCCCAGCATTGAGACTGGTAGCCAGACTTTTGAAAAGAGAAGGTCAAAACATAGCTGCAAATGGTGTCACAAAGAGTATCAACGAAGGATATTTTTAGAGAAACATATGAGTAATTGTAAAGGGAGATTACAGGAGGGAAATCTTTCTGAGCTTCAAGAGAGTGTTGAAGATGTACGGAGCAGGAAACACAGACTACGACAAGAGCAGGGTGAAGGATGTCAGGTAGAGGATGGTAGTGTTCCTGATGGACAGGATGAATCGAAGGATGAATCGAGGTCACTCTCAGATCGTCAGGCATGCGATAAAACAGATGTGGATATTGATGTCGCAAGTCAACAGACCTTGGTCTTTCTGCAAGATGGTTCATGGTACAAGTGTGAAATCTGTGGCCAGAACTTGCGAGGGAAGGAACAGATGAAGAGACATTCACATGATCAGAAGAGTAAGAAAACTGAAAATGAAAAAGTGGAATCTGAATTCCTTAGAGTTGGAACTTGGCACAAGTGTAAAGTGTGTGGGAAGAAAGTGCGAGGGAAAAAACAGCTGAAGAATCATTCACATGATCAGAAGATTGTGAAGCCTGAAGACAAACAACAGGAAGTTCTTGATATCCCTTGTTTGGAATCTGAATTCCTACAAGTTGGTACTTGGCACAGGTGTAAAATCTGTGGGAAAAACATGCGAAGCAAAGAACAGGTGCAGAATCATTCACATGATCAGAAGATTGTTAAAACTGGAGATGAAAAACCAGAATGTCCTAGCGCTAGTCCACCATGTTTGGAATCCAATTTCCTACAAGTTGGAGTTTGGTACAGCTGTAAAGGCTGTGGCAAGAAGTTACAAGGCAGAAAGCAAATGCAGGCACATTCACATTCACAGCTAATTGACAAGAAGGTTCTGGGGGACAGGTTGGACAGTGACATTCAGAAAGCTCCTGTGTCTTTGGAAGCTGACTTTGTTCAAACTGGTAGTTGGTACAAGTGTAGATCATGCCTTGTGCGGTTCAGAGGCAGACACAATGCAGAGGTGCATCATCATTACAAGAGCAGCCTAGGAGATGGTAGAGAGGGCCACAAGGAGGTGCTTCCAGAACATCAGCCAGAACTTAACCAGCATTGCGGTGTTTCACAAGGACAGGAGGTCGTTTCATATCATGATGTACAACCAGCCAGTCACGAGGCTGGGCAGGACATGCACCAATCAGAAAGTGATGTGCAAAGAAATGGAGAAACTGTGCAGTATGTGAACCAGACAGAGTCATCAACTGTCCCTGATAACTTGTATGTACGGGACTACATTATTAAGGCTGGGAAGAATTGGGAGTGTAGGATTTGTTCAAAGATGATAAGGTCCTGGGTTGGTTCTTTCAAGCATGTGAGGAGCCATTTCACACGGACTACACTAGTTTGCAGCGTTTGTAACAAGTCATTTTCGTCATCTTGGAATCGCAAGAAGCATGAACAGAAACATATCAAAGGAAATACCTCATCAGCCCTGAAGAAATGCAATCTTAAGAAGTCCTCTCATTCAGGTTCTCTGCAAAGGAAAAGTATGGATCCCTCAACTTTGAAGAAAAGAAACAAACAAAAATCCTCAAAACCAATAACAGCTTCTGACTACAGTCCTACAACTAAGGTGCTAAGACCTGGACTTGAGGAAGCTGTTGATCATGAAGATGGGGCTGAGAATGAGCTAACCATGAGGAGCTGTGACGTGAACCCAAGTTCCAAAGAATCTTTGTGGACATCATCTGCAGGGAACTCTGCTGCAGGTGCTTATGTGGCAGATGCTTACGTGAAAGGGGCTTCTGTGACAAATGCTTCTGTGACAAATCCTTCTGTGTCTAATGCTTCTGTGACAAATGCTTCAGTGACAAATGCTTCTGTGACAAATGCTTCAGTGACAAATGCATCTGTGACAAATGTATCTGTGGTAGATGCATCTGTGGTAGATGCTTCTGTGACAAATGCTTCTGTGGCAGATGCTTCTGTGACAAATGCTTCTGTAGAAGGTGCTTCTGGTGTAGATGCTTACATGAAAGGGGCTCCTGTAGTAGATGCTTTTGTAACAAATGTTTCTGTGAAAGGTACTTCTGTGACAGGTGACAATTTGGAAGGTGCTGCTGATGTAGATGCTGTAGAGGGAGCTGATGAAGAAACACCAACTCTGTCCTGTTATCGGACATCAGAAGATACATCTGGACCCCTTTGTTCTGACAAACGAGACAAATGGAACAAGAAAAAAGCTTCAAAAGGAATGAGGAGAAGAGACAAAACTCTGACAGTCATGTATCTAGATAATGATTCCGCCACTGATGTCTCGTTGGATCAAAGCTACAATTCAGATAAGGAGATGACCTCAGAACTGTGTAATACAAGTGAAAATGAAAGACTATCAGTTGAGGATGTTGAGTGTGACGATTGGATACTGTTTTCTGAGTATGAGGATGATGGTCCTCAGGAGAATGTTTGTATTGATGAATTGTTTGAAGAGCAGCAAAATAAATCGGTGTCTGATGGAACAAAGGTTTGTAGTGATACCGAGTATCAGAAGTTGTATCAAGCATTTTTAGATATGTCCTCAGAGATGAATGGGGACCCACAAGTACAGAAGAACAACAACCAAGAGCATATGGACGTTGTATCCATGAATAGCCTTAACTTGAATGTTGGCTTGTCTGATGAAATTGATCATTGCCATACCAAAACATTGCTGGAAAGGGCAGACACTCCCTCTCCTGTTGGTGAGGCCATAGGCTTGAATGGGTCACAGTTCAAAAAGGATGCTATGGTCCAAGACACAGACTTAATCATGACTGACATCTGCAGACACCCAGACATGGCTTGGAGTGATGATGAGATTCCTCCAACTGAAAACCCTGTAGACATGAGCATGGATTATGAGACACACAGAAGGAAAGAAGGAACACTGAACATCTCCAGAAGAAGAATTTCACAAGATGGCAACAAGAGGTCCAAAAGGTCACTGATTCATTCTGAGATGTCTGTGTTGCAAGAAAGATTTGATTCCAAGGATTCTGCAAAAGTCAAAAAGAAAAACTTTTCAAACAGTGTACATGGTAACAAAATTGCAACAAACACTAAATGTAAGATGAATACAATTTGTAAACCAAAGAAATGCTATGATAAGTTTAGGTTCCAACTGATGACATCAGGAGATGGTGCGAGATGGAGGAAACGGAAACAAGTGGCACCAAAGCAATGTGCAGGTGAAATGGGTTATACACAGATTTCTAATGATGGCAGAACTCTGGAAGGTCATGGTCGCAAGGCCATTTTGCAATGTTCAAGAACAAGTTCTGGACAGATGGTCTTCGGGGAAATGTCAGCTCCTGTTATTGATAGAAAGAAGCCAACTCGGTATAAGACCGGGAATGAATTCTTTCTGCCAGAACAAAAGATGTTTGCTAAGAGACAAGAAGAGAAAAGACATTTAAAAGATGGTTTGGGTGGTGGTGACACTGTGTACGGAGGTGGGCAAGGGAGGTCAGTGAAGGATTCCTGTAGGCAAGTCTGTGACAGATCTGCAGACAGAGGTGGGCAAGGGAGGTCAGTGAAGGATTCCTGTAGGCAAGTCTGTGACAGATCTGCAGACAGAGGTGGGCGAGAGAGGTCAATAAGTGTTTCCTGTAGTCAAGTCTGTGACAGATCTGCAGACAGAGGTGGGCGAGGGAGGTCAGTGAAGGATTCCTGTAGTCAAGTCTGTGACAGATCTGCAGACAGAGGTGGGCGAGGGAGGTCAGTGAAGGATTCCTGTAGGCAAGTCTGTGACAGATCTGCAGACAGAGGTGGGCAAGGGAGGTCAGTGAAGGATTCCTGTAGTCAAGTCTGTGACAGATCTGCAGACAGAGGTGGGCAAGGGAGGTCAGTGAAGGATTCCTGTAGTCAAGTCTGTGACAGATCTGCAGACAGAGGTGGGCAAGGGAGGTCAGTGAAGGATTCCTGTAGTCAAGTCTGTGACAGATCTGCAGACAAAGATCAAGAATCCAGGCAGGGAAGATTTGTCTGTTCACTCTGTTACAAGGCATTTGCTTCGGAGACGGTTGCTGTTGATCATCTGAAGCAACATTCACGCCACAGGAAGAACAGAGCGAGAAACATTCGCAAGAAAACCATCTTCAATGTCATGTTCAAGAAACATTGCAGAGTTTGTCAGAGAGTATTTTCGAATCAAGTAGACCTCAAACGACATGAACACAGCCATTCAGTGGAAGACACAGTCGGGAAGTCGAAGGATGTGAGGTGTGAGGTCTGTGGGGAGGTGTACAGGACACAGCTGCTCCTGGACCAGCACAAGGTCGGCCATCAGGTGTGGCTGAAGTGCTCTCACTGCAACTTGTACTTCGCCCAGGTCACCGAGCTGCATCAGCATTGCATGGTGGCCAGACACTTTGTGTGTGAATGTGGGGAGGCATTTATCAGTTATGCTAAGTTGGATATGCACAAATATGACTGCATGTACACTAACTAAGAGTTAATACACTACAGTGAAGCTGTGTTAATCTGGACGGCTGGGATCTATGTAAAATAAACTAACGTAGTGTACTAGCAAATTCCTGGCATGACAAATCATTGTCACTTTACTGTCCTTTGTATGTATACATGTAAAGGGTAATTGTCTGTAAAGCGAGGTTTCTGGATTGACAAGGTCCAGGCTAACCAGGCTTCACTGTGTATGAATACCAAAATCACTGTTTAAGAGCCCTGCTCTTACAAGCATCCCTTGAAGATAAATTCGCAAGTAAACCTTATGATTAAGGTTAAAAATTTACATGATGGTCTGTATTTTCTGTTATTATTGCAGAGTTATTTGCTGAAAAAGCATTGTAGAAGGGGTACATATTGCCCAGTTACTGTTATAACAATCTGATTAAAATCAGATCTTAGTTCTCGCTATCGCTAAACAAAGATCTGAGGACATCCCATTACGGGTCACATCAGAATGACCTTTCATCCGACCAATCAAAGTGTTGCTTACCAGATCATGAAAGTGACAGTCAGAATGTGTTTTCTAATCATGCAACCTCGGAAACTTTAACACGGGGTATTCCGAACGACAGTTACGGCTCATTCCGTCAAAATTATCTTCCATCTCTCGCTTCCGTGGGATAAACATTTGAACGGAGGAGGTGTTGCACAGTACGTGGGAAGCACTGCCATACAATTGCAACCATATATTCTGGATGTTCGTTTGTTCAGATTTCAAAATCTTAATCAAGAACTGTGTCAACATATTTTTCAAGCGTAAAAGTCGCCAGGTTGAAACGACTGCTGTAAGGCTCAGGAAAGCTGCTTTCTAATTGGCTGATGTCCACTTCATGTTAGTTGTTTCAGTGGTCGGCCAAAGTTCAAGAAAGGTCGTTCAGATGAGAACCATAATGGGATGTCCTCAGATCTTTGTTTAGCGGCAGCGAGAACTTAGATCTGATTTTAATGAGATAACTGTTATAAACATGTGTTATCTTCAGCTATGTTTGAACAAACTTTGTTTTTTAATGTACTAGTCTGCAAATACTTTCTTTTAAACAGATTTAATAAGACCCTCCCTTTGACAATTTTCTAAGCACCTATTGCTCTTATTGCAGTGAATACAGTACTTGTTGACCAGTAATGTAATGTTTATGACCAGCAATGTGTGAAATGTTTGGACCATTTTTTTTTACACTTCAAATTGAGAATTTTGTGAACACAGATTCAAGTGTCAAACTGCAATATGTCAACTATTGTTGCCCTTCAGAAGTGTCTTTCCTTCAAAATCAAGGCAGAAAAAATCTTTAACGAAATTACTTAATTTTTAGCTCACCTGACTGAAATGCAAGTGAGCTTGTGTCCTTGCTTTTTTGTCCGGCGTTTGGCATATGTCATCCTTCAGTTCATGCCTTGTAAAAGTTTTTTTCTGCCAAGCCATTGGACCAATTAAGCTGAAACTTCAGCTATTTGTTCCCACCAATGATCAAACCTCAATATGTCCAAGAGGCTGAATACGAATTTCAAAATGGCCACCACAGCAGCCCCATTCAAACATCTATATATAGCCACTACTCAGTTGTTGTTTTTTTCAAAACATTATAAAGTTTGGTACATGTTCAGTTAGTAATGGGGTTCTACATATACTGAACAACAAAAGTTCCTGTGACATTGAATAAAATTTAATGCAAAGTTATGTTTTTTACCAAGTCTGAAATAGTTTGGGTTTGCAACAGATAAAAGACTCCTGTAAGTGTTCAAATGGTTTAATTTGCCATACTGACTTCAGAAAAAGCGTGATTTCATAAAAAACATGAACATGCCAAAAGTCAATTTACACATCAATAGCGTGTGTGTCCACCTCTGGTTGCGATGTAAGCAACACATCTTCGTCTCATGGAATAGACCAGGGCCCACTTGCACAAAGCGATCTTAGCGCTAAGACTATCGTAAGCCTATGTTAAAGTATGGGAGTTACGATCATCTTAGCGCTAAGATCGCTTTGTGCAAGTGGGCCCAGGTGTCTGTGGAACACGTGGTTGACGTCGAAGGCGCCGATCCATCTCATCCCACATGTGCTCAATTGGTGAGAGATCAGGGGAGCGAGCCGGCCAAGGGATGACATTCACGTTGTTTTGTTGAAGAGAATCCTGAACAAGTTGAGCAATATGAGGCCGGACGTTGTCATGTTGAAAGGTAATGCTTGGGCCATGACGATGCAAAAACGATGATTTCGTCGCGGTAGCGCTGTCCATTGAGATTTCTCTCTACCACTATCAAACAGGTCCTCTGTCTTGCTGTAATCCCACCCAATACCATACCATAATACCGAAGGTCAGGGATGCTTCTTGCAGTCACTGTTGCTGGCTGGAATTGATTTCTTAGGTGTGATGTACGAATCCAGCTGTCTTGTGGATTATTGGTTATGCGTGGCCTGCCACTCCGAGGATGGTTTCTGACTGCATTCGTCTGTTGCCAACGTTGCCATAAACACCAAATGGTGTTTCTGTGGACGTTAAATTGTCTTGCAACATCACTTTGACTCGATCCTGCTTCAAGCATACCAATGGCTCGCAGACGCTCATTTTTGGACAGGCGTGGCATTTCGTAATGTTGAAAAATTGCGTAATTTTGTTGTTTTTCTGAGTGGGTGTTGTCAGCACGATGCTAAACTATGCATATGGAATCCCGTTAACGCACATGTTTTTATAACCTTTCTTGGGTAGTGAAATGCATGGGGCTTGCATAAAAGTCAACTTTTGCATGGAATGCATGCTTTTCTGTAGCAGTTGCATTTTTGTGTCTTGATTCCATACATGTACTGCAATATTGAAAACCAAACTTTACTTGTTTGAAAAATACACTAAAATATTGATGTCACAGGAACTTTTGTTGTTGAGTATATTTGTTTTGTACTTTGTAATATTTACAATTTGAACCTGTATTTGACTTTTGCTATTTGACCATGCTTCTGAATTCCCTCACAGTGAATGCACTCGCACAGTAAACATTACTTCTTCAGAAACCACTTGTTCAATGAAACTTCACATGAAACTTGTTACCATCAATGATGTCCCGTCAAGATGTTTGAATCCGATTTTAATATGTCTGACATTACATGTGCAATTTTATACTACATGTAATGATATTTGTTCACTTAGTTGTAAGATTAGACACATTATAGTTGACAGATTATTCCAGATTTGGAATTTTGACCTTGTCATCACAAGTTTGTTGTAGTCCGTGAACATACAGTTTAGAATAGGTCTTCCGTAAACCATGCTTGCTGTACCATGTGACCATGCTTGTCGTAAGAGGCGACTAATGGGATCAGGGAGTCAGGCTAGCTGACTTGATTGATGCATGTCATCGTATCCCATTTGTGTAGATCGATGCTCATGATGTCAATCACTAGATTGTCTGGCCCTGACTTGGTTATTTACAGACCGTCATGATATTGCTTTAATATTGCTGTGTGTGGCGTTAAACAACAAACAAAATTATGCAGATTTGGCTCTGTAAACTTCTCTGAATTTGTGTTGAACTTTGGCTCATATATTGCTTATTATTTATTTATATTTTTCAAATCATCACATTTCATTGTTTACCCGTGAAGATTCCGGGTAGAATAGGTCTTCAGCAACCCATGCTTGCCGTAAAAGGTGACTATGCTTGTCGTAAAAGGCGACTAACGGGATCGGGTGGTCAGGCTTACCTACTTGGTTAATGCATGTCATCGATCCCAATTGCGTGGATCGATGCTCATGATATTAATCACTGGATTGTTTGGTCCAGACTCGATTATTTACAGACCGCCGGGGGGCACGGGTGGCCCAGTCGTCTAAGGCGCCGCGATTTGCTGTGCAGAGTTGCGTCCCTTGCGCACGCCAGAAACCTATGATTGTGGGTTCGAATCCCGGTTCGCCCCAATTATGTTTCTAGGTTTGTCAGCACCATACCCGTGCTCGAGGGTTTCACCGAAGTTGTAAACGTCTTAGACCTGCATGACTTCGGGCTTTCCTCCCACATTAAGCTGACACGTCGTGATATAACTGGAATAATGTTAAAAGCGGCGTTAAACCCAACTCAGTCAGTCAGTACAGACCGCAGTCATGTAGCTGGAATATTGCTGAGTGCGGCGTTAAACAACCAACCAACCAACATTTCATTGTTAGTTTTTATGCAGACAATATTTGAATAGCAATGCTGACAGCATCTTTTGCTGATTGACTGTCTTTCTTAACACTTTGAGGGGTGGTTGGGTAGCCTAGTGGTTAAAGTGTTCCCTCATCACGCCGAAGACCCGGGTTCGATTCCCGACATGGGTACAAAGTGTGAAGCCCATTTCTGGTGTCTCCCGCCATGATATTGCTGGAATATTGCTAAAAGCAGGGTAAAACTACTCATTCACTCACTTAACACTTTGAACTGTTAGATCCAGGTAAGCTACAGTGCTGTGGCACTATTTCTGTAAATTATTGTGGTAGTAGGCATCTTTTGATTGCTGCCTCAGAGGTTGTTAGTTGGATCCTCGTTATTTTTTTGTTTCATGACATGTGTCTCTTCTTGTCTTTGGTCGGGTAATGGTCAGATTTGTCCCAAGATGAAGATGACTCGTTCAGCATTTTATGAGAACAATGTGTATCAGCTGTTGTGTTTTCAACAAGTTACTTGGTTTGAATGTCACTGTCAAAGATAGCAACTATTACAGGAACAGAGAATTTCCCAAAACAGTGGGCACTTCAGGAGTAAGACTTTCCCCACTAGTTTCAAATTCTTTCATTTTACAGTATTCTAATTTTACTATTCAGTTTTGGCATACAGTTCTGAAGCTTTCAGATGTAACCTTCTTACCTGAAAAGGAAGTAGGTGATTGTCGACATACATCATTATTCGTAGAAAGTTTTTCATGAAGTGAGGGGGCACGGGTGGCCCAGTCGTGTGAGGCGGTGCGATTTGCTGTGCAGAGTTGCGTCCCTTGGACACGCCAGAAACCTATGATTGTGGGTTCGAATCCCGGTTCATCCCGATTATGTTTCTAGGTTTGTCAGCACCATACCCGTGCCCATGGGTTTCACTGAAGTGGTAAACATCTGAGACCTGCATCACTTCGGGCTTTCCTCCCACATTAAGCTGACACACCGTGATATAACTGGTATACAGTTAAAAGCGGTGTTAAACCCAGCAAACTCACTCACTCCAAAAACAGTATAAACTGAGAAGACTTCTTTCCCCACTAGTTTTACTTTTTCTCTACTCTCTTTCTTGCTTTCACAATGCCAAGCACACAAGTCAGCACTGAGCCCTCACTCCCCAGTGAAGATCTGGGTTAGAACAAGTCTAAAGCAACCCATGCTTGTTGAAAGAGGCGACTAACAGGATTGGGTGGTCAGGCTCGCTGACATGGTTGACTGGAACTTGTCGTATCCAATTTGCGTGGATCGATGTTCATGATATCAATCATTAGATTGTCTGGTCTAGATTTTATTTATCAATCCTTTATTCATTAATTCTAAAA